AAAAAAAGTGAAAAAACGACATAGTATAGTATTGCAAAAAAAGTGAAAAAACACATAGTATATTAAGCCATAAAAACATCAGTAAATGTAAAAATGTAATAATATAGTAAGGTATAAAGGCGTCATAGTATAGTATGGTCTAAAAAGTGAAAAATATGACATAGTATAGTATGGCAAAAAAAGTGAAAAAACTACATAGTATTGTAAGGTATAAAAACATGAAAAGACGTCATAATATAGTTAAGTGTAAAGGCATCATAGTATAGTATGGCAAAAAAAGTGAAAAAAACGACATTGTGTAGTATGGCAAAAAAAGTGAAAAAACGACATAGTATAGTATTGCAAAAAAAGTGAAAAAACACTTAGGGCCTGATTTACTAAGATCCCAAATAAAGAGCGCTAAATTGCGTGCGCACACGGATAGATTGCGCGCGCTGCCTGTTTGGGGCTTGCGGGTGATTTACTTAGATTAACAGCGCAATTGACTACATGTGCAAAAGTGATTGAGCCCACCCTATTTAAATGAGGACTTTGCGCGAGTTAAGGGTATTCACCATGGCGAATGCAAACGAGCAGACCCAATGGAAGCGCAAAAGCAAATTTGAAGCCACGGAATTGGAGGTGCTGGTACAAGAGGCAAACAAGCACATTTCTGAGTTTCATAGCAGGCACTGCATGACTCCTCCTTGTGACTGGATCCAAATCAGCTCCTACTTCACGGAGAAGCTCCAAAATGGCATCGCCGGATAACCGATATGTCTCGATTATTTTTTTCTTCTGCCATTCCAAAAAGAGTGACACAAACAGAAAAGATGCGTTCTCTTCGTTGCCTGTCGTGCCTACGCCGCCTCCTTGCAACAATGACCACAGCCATCTGTGCGCACAGCTGTGCCAGGTAGCCTAAGACTTGACTTTCAAACGTGCTAAATATAGACGCAAAAATAATCAGCGCAATTAGTTTCAGGTTTGGTAAATCACATTGTGTGCGCAAAATGATTCTATTTGCATCTACTCCTCCCGATATTTTGCGCGTTCTGGCAGGCACACCTATATTGCATATTCATGAAGGCAGAAACGCAAAATGGATAGCGCGTGTTATTTTGCCCGACTGACAGACGCAATCCTCGGTGCGCCCGGTTGGTAGATCAGCATCAGCATGTGTTTGCGCTTGCTGTCGCGTTTGCGCACGTTTTTACACACGCAAAGCTTTAGTAAATCAGGCCCATAGTATATTAAGCCATAAAAACATAAGTAAATGTAAAAATGTAATAGTATAGTAAGGTATAAAGGCATCATAGTATAGTATGGTCTAAAAAGTGAAAAATACGACATAGTATAGTATGGCAAAAAAAGTGAAAAAACGACATAGTATAAAAAGGCATAAAAACGTAAAAAGACGTCATAATATAGTTAAGTGTAAAGACATCATAGTATAGTAAGGCCTGCAAAGTGAAAAAAACGACATAGTATAGTATGGCAAAAAAAGTGAAAAAATGACATAGTATAAAAAGGCATAGAATCATCAAAAAATGTAGTAGTATAGTAAGTTGTAAAGACATCATAGTATAACAAGGCCTAAAAAGTGAAAAAAACATATAGCATAGAAACCCTCATAATATGATAAGGCATAAAAACGTATTAAAAACGTATAGTATAGTAATGCATAAAAATGTTTAAAAAAACGTCATAGTATAGTAAGGCAGAAAAAGTCATAGTACTGTAATACATAAAACGTCATAGTATAGTAAGGAATAAAACTTCTCACTATTCATTGTAACATTTTCATGGGATTTTTCGACACAAATTGAACTCGTACCTTGATATATCCACCTTTTTATATTTACTCCTACTAGCAACCTTACTCCTAGTCTACAGAAGATCAAAGCCAGGGTACTCTGCAAGTTAACACTTGCTAACACTGTTAAATAACATCAATTGTCATTTTTTTGGTGACGCTAGGTACCACTGTGTTAGTCTCATATGACGTGAGCCTTCAGATTGCCCCCGTCATTTCAGTCAATCAAATGCTAGCATGTCTAAATGGGTTGTCAGACCTAGCCTCTTGGAGGGCACATTGGAATGATCTAATATGACTTCACTCCAAACAGTGTGAACAAGTTCACTCAAATATTATATAACAAAGTTTTTATGTATTTGATGAGGTTTGTGTCACCTGCAAGGCAAAGGGCGTATATACGCTGATGAATAAGTGAAATAACATGATTTTGTAGAATTAATTAATTATTGCATTATTTTATTATGGTATCACATAATTAAGTCATACTGAAATGAAATGTTTTGTTCAACACACTGCTGGTAAAAATCGAGGGGCCCAGCATTGATCACCTATCCTGCAGAGGTTAGTCAGGTGAAATGCAATGATGATTCGCAAACAATACATGGGGCATATGATATGACACCAAGTAGAAATGTCACCTCGAAGGATGAGTGCAGAGAGCCATGGAAAAAAAAGAGCACTGTTAAAAATTGCTATCAGCCAATAGCTTTGGGCAGAAAGAGGTGGAAAGGGGATTTTTTTAATCCTTAATAAATAATTCCAGTTTGTTATTTTCATTTTATTTCACTTACATTTGAATAATTTCACATCATTCAACCACTTGCAATTCCACGGAACACTGAAAGGAGAAGCCTACAAGTGACAGCTCACTTTGATGATGATATGTCTTGCAATCATTTACACAATAGCTAGCTAACTGCACCATTTACCATGTTCTCATGGCTTTTTTCTACCCTTAGTTTTGGTTTTTATGTTTATGGATGGCAAAGTCAGTTTGTCAGTCTGCTGGTTCACACTGGTCCATACTAAAATATAATTTTGTGCACACATCCATGTCCCTGTTATCACTTGTGTGATCCCTTAACTTTTCATCTTGCACCATGACCAGGTCAAACTTTTAACTTGGTTTATGACCAAATATAGTGAAAATGAATGACATTACCATCAGCGTCCGCCATCGTCTGTGTTTTGTCCTAATTAGCAAATGCAGATATGCTAACATGCTAAACCAAGATGGTAAATATGGTAAACATGATATCTTCTAAACATCAGCATGTTAACATTGTCACTGTAAGCATCTTAGCATGCTAACATCCAAACACACTGTAGCTCAAAGCACTGCTGTGCCCATAGACACATGGAGCTGCTAGCATGACTGTAGACTTGTTTATTGTTTTACCCGTACCCTGATTTTGTATAATTTTGTCTCTGCCATCTTGGTCAGGTCTCCCTCAAAAAAGAGGCTTCAAACCTGGTTAAACAAAGGTTAAATATAAATAAAATCTACCTAATCTCAGCTTTGGGCCATGGACACTCTGCGTAGGTATTAAGTCTTTTCCTGCCTTACCACAGACTGACAATCATAGCAGATTTAATAGAAAATTCTCAGTTGATGAAATGAAAGAAAATAACTTTCTGAAAAACTGATTGAATTGATGTCTTTTTGGGGTTTGTAGGTTTATGGTCATTGTATAACAAATCAAAAAAGTGCGTGTGTGTGTGTGTGTGTGTGTGTGTGTGTGTGTGTGTGTGTGTGTGTGTGCTAGTGTGAAAGAACATTTCAAATGAGTCTAATTAGCGATGTTTAACAAACAAGACTAATTATTTGAACAGAAATCAGGCTGAAAAATTCAAGGATGAGACAATACTAAAGGCACGGTTTGATGAGAGCTTCTGAAGATTTCTTCATCCTTGACACAAAAAGCATACACACACACACACACACACACACACACACACACACACACACACACACACACACACACACACACACACACACACACAGTCACTGCCATCACCACTTGTCAGCTGCATTCTGTGTATTTCATTGAACATAATTACTATAACTGCTTGTGGCAGCCATTACAAGGTTCAGTGCACATTGGAAACTCTATTTTTTAAAATGCAAAATTCATACAGTCTTTGGCTGACAGCGTGTTTCCTCCCTCTCACTTCTCTCTAAGGTGAGAATTCCAACACTTTGGACAAGTTTTATGCTAAAGGAAGTTCAACTTGCTACTTACACATTTTACAGTAGCTGCAGCTACAGCGTCATCAGGGGTTACGTCTGGCTCGGCTAACACTGAGTAAAATAGGTGTTTTTTTGCTTCCTCCCTTCAATCCTCATTTGACTTCACAAGGTCAAATATCAACCATCCATTTACAAAGCATCAACCCTCCTCCTCGACCTGCCATGATAGTGGTAAGATATCACCCTGCATAGTCAGTCCTCACCTCTGACTCTCACCTCTCACTCCTGTATCAATCAGACATGGACACTTCATGAAAACTCAACTTTGTTTCTCACCTCTCAACCCATCATCTCTTAACTTTCTGAGGCAATTTCTTTTCCCCATACATGACATTAATGATAAATTCAGTTTGCATTATTATGTGTAGGTTTGTCTCTGTAATGAAAATATTTTACCCAACATGTTCCATAAACCCAATTAAAATACAGCACTGTAGTGAAGTTAGCTTCAGTTCTGTGCACCACTTTGACTTCTCCCTTTTCTCTCACAGTGTAGGTGTGAGGGGTGAGTAGAAAAAAAAGGTGAGACCTGGCTTTTGCAGGACAGTGCAGGGGTGAGCACTGAGGAGGAGGACTAATGCCTGATAACTGGAGGGTTGATCCAAGACGAGCAATGACATGCCTCCATTGGCCTGACTGAAGCCAAAGAAAGCAGGTGTCTGAGTCCCCTCGGATCCAACCTTTGCCCCTCATTGCCACAGCGTCAGTGCATAGTGTGACAGCTTCATTTATTATATTCAATTCACACAACGCCTCTGGGCTTGTACTGCTCCCAGGATCTGCACCGCCCAACGCATCTCCCCCGAGTGACTCTCATCTTGTCTCATCTATAACCGCTACAGCAGTCTGTGCGTGGCAGGCGCCCTGCGCAGACGCACAGGGTCTCACACAGCTTTTTGCTCTGAATGAGTGGAATTTCTAAGAAACAGATATATACCATCAGAAAGAAAAGAGGAGAGGAATACAACTCACACACTCTTTCCTGTAAGGTAAGAATATTATTTGAGAAAATTTTTAACTCAGAAAATGTACCTCTGGAAGAAATTGTGACTTTCCATCCCATCACCAGGGCTAATTAAAGATATGAGCTAAAACATCCACCTGGTCATCCATGTAATTTTAAACAATAGAACAAAGATTTTTATAGTTTCAAGGAAAATGATCAATGATTTCATCCAATTTCCTGATGATTAAAAGACAAACAAATTCTGATCTCTCATCCACAGTGGGTTTGACTTCCATGTATTTTCTTAGATTATGTTACTCAGTCATTGCAACAGTATAATGAGCAGCAGGATGAATGTGATTGTGTGACTAAGAAAGTATATCTAGCAGTGCAGCTATAATCAAATATTCTCCTTTACTCAGACTATCTTCTTAAAGACAGAGAAACACAAAGGTCGCAGAGAGAATCAAATTGTCACAGTTTCACCGGCAGTTTTGATCTTAAATCAACAGTTTAGGCTTCAACGGCTCATTTTTATGCATAACTGTGTTAAAATTCATTTCTTACAGGTTTTGAAAATAAATTGCAATAGTAAGTGTGAAAATAAAATCAATTAGTAACGAAATTACTTATTAAAATACACATGTTGATTAATCACATGACATTGATAAAATATTCATCAAAGAGTAAACCTGGCCTACTTTGGTTTGTTTATGCCACTGCAAACCATTTTCACACACACACACAAACACACACATGCACAAGCACACACGCACACACACACACACACACACACACACACACACACACACACACAAACACACACATGCACAAGCACACACACACAAGCACGCACACACACACACACACACACACACACACACACACACACACACACACACACACATGCACAAGCACACACACACAAACACACACACACACATAAACACACACGCACAAGTATACACACACACACACACACACTTTGATTTGACAATCCATTATTTTTGTGTAGTGGGTGCATGAAATAAAAAAAATCTTAATAAACAAACAGCATCCTGCAGAAGGCAGGAGACTAACCTTGCAGAAAGGTTTAGAAAATGAGTTTCTGAAAATCCATCTAGATGTGTAAAATTTACCAATCACATAACTGTCAGACAGAGTCAATAGTAATATCACTCCTTCCCACAGCAACGGATCCAGATGATTGATGTAACATATTGGCAAGCTACTGCACTGTTCATCGAACAGATTGGTCATTTTAGTCAGTATGTTGTTTTTACTGGGTGTGAGAGAGCATGCACTTGACTGGATCAACCCAGCTACAAAAATCAAAAGACACAGCAATTGGACTATTGATTTTCAGAAAGGTTTTATTGTTTTATGTAATTACTAATTGATTCTTCCTGTCTGCGGGATTCCACTCCCACTGGGAGGATGTGTGTAACGGCACTGGTTTATAATTGGTTGATTTTATCAAGGGAGGATTTCAGATTTTTAACCCAGAGCACATGCACTGAGAACATAATAGGTTATCCGTGTGTTTCACTTCTGTCTCCATTTCTCTTTCTCTCTGAAAGCTAGATATCACCATGACCCAGAATCTAGTTCTCAACGCTTCCTGGGAGAACCTGAACCCTTCCGATTCCTCAAGATCACAGGAAAACCTTTCGACCCACCAGAACATCACCTATGTCGACTTCTACCTCCACAAGCCCTCTGTGGCTGCAGTCTTCACCATCTCCTACCTGCTCATCTTCGTGGTGTGCATGGTGGGCAACGGGGTGGTGTGTTTCATCGTGCTGCGCAGTAAGAACATGCGCACGGTCACCAACTTGTTTATCCTCAACCTCGCCATCAGCGACCTGCTGGTTGGCATCTTTTGCATGCCAACCACTCTGGTGGACAACATCATAACAGGTCAGCGTATAAAGTCTTTATGTCTAATTCAACTTGTTCTCTCCTTAATAATATGAGAGAATAAGAAAATGCCCTCATCAATTTATAACTGTGGCTGCTGTATTGGCTTTAATTTGGAAATAGTGAAATGTTCACCACTTTCTGCCCATTAGGATTCATTTTAATATTTAAATAATTCATACAGTCTGCTTGTCTTTATGTTTTTACACTCAATTTTAACAGTTTTCCTCTTCCCTGCAGGATGGCCGTTTGGTAGCGTAGTGTGCAAGCTGAGTGGGATGGTTCAAGGGATATCCGTGTCTGCATCTGTGTTCACGCTAGTGGCAATAGCTGTTGACAGGTGAGGGCTGTAATTGTGTTACTGGTTATTAAGTGCTTGTGTGGGAGTGTGTGTTATCCCAAGAGGCTCCCCCTCCTCAATGCGTCTCCTTCAATCCCCTTTGTGTCAGGTTCCGCTCCATTGTCTACCCTTTCAAGCAGAAGCTCACCATCGCGACCTCGAAGCTAATTATCGTCATCATTTGGGTCCTGGCCGTGTCCATCATGTGTCCCTCGGGGGTCATGCTCCAGGTCACAAAGGAGCACAGGGTGCGGATAGTCCTCGGCGGCGACAACGACACCCGCCCCTTTTACTGGTGCCGGGAAAACTGGCCCAATCAGGAGATGCGGAAAATCTACACCACCATCCTCTTTGCTAACATCTACCTTGCCCCTCTCAGCCTCATCGTCATCATGTACGCCCGCATCGGCTTCACCCTCTTCAAGACCGCTATTCCTCCCTTGAGGGGCAGTGGAATTGTGTCCGGAGAAGGGAGTGGCAACAACAAATTGAGCATGGAAGGTCGTCACACAATATCAAGGAAAAAGAAGAGGGTGATAATGATGCTGCTGGTTGTGGCTCTGCTCTTCATCCTCTCCTGGCTGCCTCTGTGGACGCTGATGATGCTGAGCGACTACGCCAGCCTGACGGAGCACCAGTATCGCGTCATCAATATCTACGTGTATCCCTTGGCTCACTGGTTGGCCTTCTTCAACAGCAGCGTCAACCCCATCATCTACGGGTTCTTCAACGAGAACTTTCGCAGAGGCTTTCAGGCGGCTTTCAAATTCCAGCTGTGCTCCGCTTACACGGGGCACCAGAAGACCTACTCCCATCGGATCAGAGGGAACGCTGTGCTCCCCGTCCGGCCCGCCACTCTCAGCAGGTCAGGCTCAGGAGTTCAATCAGTGTTAGTGGGAAACGGGAAGTGCTCATTTCAGGAAGAGGGGTGTAAAAATGATATCAAAGAACAGGACCTGATCATGGAGGATCTGGAAAAGGTGTCCCATATTTAGACAGACTGAGAGGGTGCAGCACATAGACACTTTAAGAGGTTCTGAGGCTTTTGGAGAATCAATGGACAATGGGAAACAGGCCTCATAAAAATACATGATTAAGTGTCATGTATATTTGTTCCAAGTGAATGTACCTGCAAGCTCTGCAACATCAGTAATCATCTTATTATATAATTTTGATTTTCCCTTCTGAATGTTTATTATGGTGTAAATAGCAAAGAATAGTATAAACAAAGAGAGATTAAAGTCCCCAAAACTTGGCTTAAAATTGTTTGATCAGATCTGACCAACCCAAACTGGTGGATGGGCAATGTGAGATCACCTTAGTAAATCTGATCCCTGCCCTTTTCAAACCAGAGAAAAATACATACACAGATAAAGCACAAGTATCTGCCCGTCTCTCAGACAGAGAGGGAGGAAATATAATCTGAATGTCCATTTTTTTTAAATCACAAAGTAATGAAATGAGTTGGATGACATTTTTATCTTAACTGCTTCAGTTGTGTTTTGTGGTTCACATTGTGTAAGCCTATCTGCTGTGTTAACTCTATTACTATTAAATTCTCTTTGCAGGTGATGTAATAGCAGTGAGATTCAATGAATGGCACAGTGGTGCAGTTCGATCAAACTTTAATTCAGAAGTGCCCTGAACATTACTGGGATGTTTCAGGGAGAATGAAAGCCTATCAAGGCATCTTTGGGCAATTCAAGACATCAAGTTTAGAACTGCACACGTGGACGGCAGTGTGATGAGAATTGTGTTGTTTTCCTCCAGTCTAAGTGCGTGTTCTAGTGCCCCCAATGAAGCTGGCGCTGGGCTGATGGCTGTGACATGTGGTGGCATTGGAAGAGGATCACAGGCTCATTTGGAAAGCATCCATAAGTCCTCCAGTTATCTGCTCCTTGCAGAGTGCTTTGAGATTTGAACACTTAAAACAATGTCAAAGGGAAGAAAGTTATATTAGGATTTCAGATTCAGCTGAAAACAGAGCAGATAAGAGGTTAGAGAGACTCACCGTACCAAGAGAATGCATCATGTGCTAATGTATGTAAAAAGGGTATATGTTCAACATAAAAGTGTGTAAGAACCATCAGTTGAAGACTGAATCAAATATAGAAACAATCGTATTAATATATAATGCTTAATAGCCATTTTTTTCCACACAAGGAAAAGGCATGTTCTTTATTATTTCTGAAACATTCACACATGACTGCTGTACTTAACTATATAAGGTGTTTAAATCAGGTCTTAAGAATCCACCTACACTATAAAGTTGAAAGACAAATTAAAGGAAAAAACTGAATAAATGAGTGGAGAATCATAACAAATGCAGATGCATTGAATGATGCAAAGATCTACGTGACTTCGGACGAGGGTTTATTGTCGGGGCACAGACGGCAGGAGCTTCAGTCACAATGACTCATCAACTGGCTGGTGTTTCAATAGGAACAGTAACTAAAGAGACATCTGCGTTTAGATCTATGAGAAAGACATCAGTGAATAGTCTTTGGAGTGGCTATCGTGACTGTGAATGGACCTGCTATTGTCACATTATTATAGTGTTATTTTGCTATTGCAAAAAAAAAATAATAGCTTTGCCATGAATGTACAACATTTACATGTATGTTAAGTTTAAGTTGTTTTTCTGGAAACCATAGGGTTTGTGCGCTATTTCCACATGCAACTGAATTTGAAACAGTTACCTCAATATGTGATATGTTAATGAACAGTGCTGTTGCTGATACTGAAGCAGGATAACATTAACATGTACAGTTAAGAGTGTATATATTTGATATATATTCATTATGATTGTAAAAAAAAGTTGAATTTGATGGAAATTCTTGGGAGCCATAATTTTGGTTTTGTGTAATATTATTATTTTTTACTATTATTTCTAAAGGTTTTTTGTCATGTAATTTCTCTTGTGGTCAGTATTTGTCATGCAACAGTAAATAATGTGTTTGTGCCAAAGTATTAAAGTTACCCTGTTTTTAAGAGGTGGTCCCTGTTTAGTCTGTATCATGCACATGCTCTTGTTTTCATACAAATTCTGCTGACTACGAGCTAACATAATCTATGTTCAACAAGTTAGTTTGACTAACCATGACAATGATACATGTAGACTTTGCTCTCTGTAACAACCTGCTGCTCAAGTATTATGTTCTGAAGTTTGTAATATTAATGAAGGTGTGAGTCGCGTGTGTGTGTGTGTGTGTGTGTGTGTGTGCATGCTCTTTGATTACATGGTTACTCACCATGTTTCTCCAAGCAACTCGTTGCACAGTAGCACATATTAGGTTCTACACATGTAACCGTTATGAAAGCACCCTCAATGACCCCACAGTGAGCACCCAAATACCCAGGGATTGAAGGAGAAGAATTCATGCACATGGATAGATGTTTATAACATGTAATATATATTCCAACTGACCTTTTTGGCTTATGACACACACACTACTTGTATTTGAAAAAAATATATATATATTAAACATACTGTGCTGCCAATGTTATTTACTGCTTGTTGGTGAAATGGAAACAGCCGAGTGATTTTCAGAAAGTGTGCTGATGAAAAATAAAAAGCGAACAAACAGGAGGAAATAGAGCAGTATAGGAACTATTTTTAGCAGCGCATTTGGTGCTGAAGTGAATATCTGCAGCAGCACGTTGGTGCTACATACAGAGGCTGTTTTCATCATAATGAAGAAAAATGTCACACAGTGCAACAGCGTGGCTCATTGTTGTGTCTTTGGACAGCAATGCAGATCTATGGCATGGAGGAATAAGATGTATGAGGCTTCGCTTACACTGGCAATGCTTGTTAGTAGAATCAGTCCACTGTTAGTTTTGGTATTTCCATGGATTGTGACTCATGAGTGTGTGAGTAAAATAAATACAGGTAATTCAGCCTGTTATTTGTCTTCATTGTTATTGTAAATATCATGAAGCCAGTTCTTTTAGCAGCGGCTTTAATCAGCAGACACAGATGGTAATCATAAGCCTGATGATCAAAACATATGGATTATAAGTTCAAATAAAAGGATAAAGACACAATTTTGGTTTGGAAGATTGTTAAAGGAGCCGACGTAGACGAAGTAATCATCACGTCTTTTACACCGATCAAACTACTTGATGAAGCTTTCGGTTCTAAAAAAGCTCTTTAAATGAGATTTTCTCTCCCATTCTTTTTCTTATTCCAGACGTGAGGTTTGTATGTTTAATTTTTATTTTTTTCAAACTTTTAAAAACCGTGGTGAGGAACAAACATTTTGTGATGCTCCTGTGAATCTGCTGCTGACAAACCTCCCCTGACTGACTGGAAAAAAAAACATCTTTGTCTCCCTCTGGTATATTACTCACTCTGCTTTCTTTTTTTCCTCCTCACACTATTCATACGCACCCACAGTAAAACACTATATTAAATCTCTAAAGGAGAAACCTATCAGCACGCCTTCAGCAGTCTACCGTGTCACTTAAGCCATAAATACAAAATGTTGGATGAAGATGTAGGCTTGTGTTTTTTCTTTTTAATAGTGGTTGAATAAAAAAAATAAAATAAAATGGATGTCGTGATATCTCTAAGTGGTACTTTTCTTATTACAGCTGTGTTGCTATTCAGTTATATTTCTAAGTAGAGTATAGTCATAATTGAGCTGAGAACATCTTATGCAAAAGAAGACTGAAAGAAAAAAAAAAGAATAGCTCACAAACATGATTTGTTTAGCAGCTATTTCCTATTCTTTTTGCAGCCACGGTGCATACATAGAAGTTGAAATCTGATACTGACAAGTACAAAGAAATATCTGCCCTTCACCTGGGTGGTCTGGACTTCAATGACAGCTGAGCAACAAAGGATCAGAAAGGGTTTGTCTACTGGAAACATTTAACAACACGGGAGCAGGAATACGTGGAGCTTTCTCTGGGGTGAAGTGCTCTCCTTCACCAGCAGCCCTGTGATTCTCCTGGGACAGATGAACAGCTTGAGAAGAGGAGACTGTTTTCCTTGAAGTGGGAATAGTTTCACTGAGGATGATGAACAGCACTGGTAATACAGTGGTGCTACCTTGACTGCTTGTTCAGTAATACATGAACACTGGCAAACCCAAAACAGTGCAACATTTAAATCAGTTAAATCAGTTCAATTCAACTGTCTGCAAAAAAACAACAAAACAAAAATACACAGTATAACTCCTCTTGTGTCATTTCATCTCATGTCATCTAATCGCGTGGCATGTCTTATTCCTGTCATCTCATTTTATTTTTTTAAGTAATCGAATCTCATGTTCTGTCATCTGATGCTATCTAATCTAATGTCATGCCATTTCATCTGTCCTTCATGTCATGTCTGGAAGGACCTCTGACATTACAGAAAGTACTTAAATGAACCCAAACCATTGATTTTTTCCCAAACCTTACCAAACTGTGACCGTTCCAAGAGCTTAACTGTGTGCTTATTATTGTAACCATGACAACAAAGGTCTGATGGGGCTATTTCCAGAGACGCTCCAATGGGTTGTTTCAAGGGAAGGAACAAACGACCTAAATAGTCGTTTAGGTTGGATGAGTTGTTGGACACATTTGTGATTTTTCAATATAGGGTTCAAAATGAACTTGACTTGAGTTTTGCCAAAACACAAAACAAAGTCAAATTGCCTCTAATATCAAGAAGTTTATAGGTACGTAATGTGTATGTGAACCCTATGTATTCAGTGAAGCAGAGAACTGCAACGCCAGCAGAGGAAAAACAATAATTGAATCATTGATGTTCAGCTGCTGTGTCTAATACTGTTGTACTCTTTCTTTCCTTGATGCAGCAGTTCTGTCAGACAAACTGATCTGTGCACTGTGACAGAAGACAGCTGATGTGTTTTAACGTCGATGAATAAACCAACTGGCCTGCGCTCCGACAGTCTGGTTGAGCCTCCTGTGACGGAGTCCTCTGTAGGTTTTTAAAAATATGCCTGGCAGCCATTCTCATGGAGGGGCTACTTGAAAAAGGGCAAAACTGATGTAAAATGTCAAAACAAATGATGAAAAATTCAAACTGATCCGACATATCTTGCAAATGAAGTTTAAAGTCAAAGAGAAACAGAGTTGCCATTACCTGGTGTTGACAGTGACAGAGCAATGAGATCAAATGTGATCAGCTGATAATACAGGTGATTACCGAAGGCCATAATAAATGTGGCCCACACTAACTATCTATTAAATCTGTGTCCTGTGGGTGAAGAGAAAATGGATTGTCTTCTCAACAGATTAAAGTCACCTTCTGGACCCACTAATCTCCAGAAGCCATTAGCGCGTCTACCTTCAGCAATATCTCTATCCGTGCTCTTCCATTAGGTTTACGTGCCATTTTATGTGAGATTTTCATCAAGAAGACATACGTGCCACTTTGTTTCCCAGAGCTATTTACTGAAAGAGCCCATTCCTTTTATCTGCCCCACACTAAGGACATTGTTAATCTCTAAACATTTGTGATGGGGGTTTTTACTTCTGACACTCTGCACTTCATTAAACGTAAAGGAGCATATCTCAATACTGTAAATTGATTTATTTAGTTTTCATTATATTATTGTACCTGGGGAACTGCAGAAAACACCCTTTGACTGAGCAAGATGATAGACATTTTATATTAGATGTGGACGTGTTGATAAGTAATATTCTCATGGGCCCTCCGTAATTGATATGGGATTTGAACAAGATATAGGGGAAACAACTGGATACCAATTCACATAAAAAATATTATCACAGAGGTAAACAAAGATTTTTTATTTTAAAAACCCTTAAGCTTTATAAAACCTATTTTGCTAGATTCTTGAGATATAAAGTGTGGCCGGCTATTTTAGTTAGATATGGTTCTTTTAATAACTGTTTTTTTCCATTGCATTGGTCTTTAGGCGAGGTGACGTAATATGAGCCCTCCGCACCTGCTTTGGTTTATATCTGTGGGTACTTAATATAAAATATGTGATATGGATGTCTGGGCTCCACCTCTGGTTAAAAATGGTATTGTAACAAGACTTAAACTTAATTACGCATTGCATATTTTAGCCCATTGATTACAACCTTCACATTCTTGCTCTTCATTGCAAAACATAGCACACCATCATTTTCTTTTAGGTCCCGTCTCACAGGCAGCTGTAGGGTTTTTATTCATTGTTAGTGTGCTACAAAAATCTTCTCACATCGTCAAAGTGTTGTAAGCAGGCCAAACCTCACTGGTGGTGCTGCTCTGACCTCCAGACTTGTGAGTCATCTGTCAGACAGCACTGCAATATGTCAAAATTTCATCTGTGAAATCTCGGCTGTCATTTCATCCCTGTTTATCAAGTCTATAGGCGACTAAAACACAGCACTGGGTGTCTGTGTAAAGCAGGGAGGGTATGGAAAAATATGATGAAACTAAGTTGATGAATATTGAAATAAACAAGAGTTTGCTGATGCTACTAAGATTAAACTTGGATCCTCTTTTATTAGTTGCTTCCCTTATAATTTTTAATGATTAATTGTGTGGTGGAGGGTGTCAACTTTTCATGGCTTCTGAAAGGGTGCATGCCAGAAAAAGTTTGGGAACCACTGATGTGCAGTAAGATTTCTTGCACCACTGAACCTCAGAGAGACAGTGGGAGGTGGGGTGAATTTTACACAACAGAAGGTGCTTAATTTTTAAACCTGAATAGCAAATAAGGACACATCTACATTAACCTGTAAATAACAGGATTCTTAGGTCTAAATTGAGACATACAAATAAACAACATTGTAAGGTTATTATTTTTCTACTGCTATTACTCTTTTCTATCATTGAGATATTCTGGTAAAAAATGTTTTGTCAAAGTCTGACTTAAAAGTTGCTGCCAAAGAGAGCACATTAAAAATTTATATTTTTCCTATCACAAAGTCTCTATCTCAAAAGCTTGAGTGTATGAGCAAGAGTGTGTTGTGAGAGGAACTGGTACCTCTCATCATAGTTTCATGTATGCTTTTTTTTCCTGTGTGAAAGAAATAGAGCTTATAAAGAGAGGCTTTAAGAATGGTTGAATGCATTGAAATAGACTCAATTATCTATTGCTGTAAAACAGCTTTTTTTTTTTTTTCAGGTCAGACATCAGCAATGACCTAACTATCAAAAACCTGATAGCTGTATACCATTACCCACTTGTGTCCGTTGCCATGACTTCATATGATACATTTAGTCATAGTTCTGACATGAACTTATGTGCTAGAGATGACATGCCATTGAATTGTAACTCAAGTGTGCTGACACTAGCCACTCACCCCGCTCACAGATGCCCTCCATTGCTATCTCTGAATACCAATACTCGACTGACTGACGTTTTTTAAAAACCCAGTCACTGCAGAAACAACACATTTGAAGCTCCAGAAAGTATTATTTTTGAAATCAACACTGACTCAAATAACTCCCTGAAATGTGAAAGATTTGCATTAACTGAGAATCCTGTAGAGAACCGACTCAGTCAGCAGCTCTCTGCAGCTTTCAGCTGTTTTCTTTTTCAGCCCATAAGATTAAATCCCAATGCTGTGGGATAGCTAGCTAGCATGCTAACTTCAGATGAGGAAAAGAAGTGACAGAAACAAGAGTTAACATTGGCGTTGCTCTCCACCAATGGAGACGGCTCTTGGTGAGTAAAAGAATGAAGTTTGAATTTGCAACGTTTCTTCTACACTGGTAAGTAAACAGCTGTTAATGCTAACGTTAGCTATGTAGCAATAGCAAAACTTAAAAACAGCTCTTTAAACAATAATGATCAAAAAGTTAATGCGCTTTAGAGATGCTGGTAGACATTTTTTTTTAACATTTTTTTTTTTTTTTTAACAGGGTCAGGCTAGCAACTTTCTGCTTCCAGTCTTTATGCTAAGCAAAGCGACTAAGTATTTCTTGTAGAGTGACTATTCCTTTTAAGCTGTCATTGTTTATATCATGGTTACATGTTTATAACAGGGCCTTATGTTGATATCAGTAATCATTACATCTATTTATCTTGTGTAATTCTGACTTTATCGTTAATTACGCTCAGAAAATAGACTTACGTGAAGTTAAAACAGGAAGGGAATCTTTGGATTCCCATTTGGATTCCCATTGCACATATGTACTTACAGACTGTTTTTCAGTTTTATGTGAAAGTTGCAACATGTGCATCAGTGAAAACATCCATGGTGCCCATATGTCATTTTCATCACTTAAGAATTGATGAATTGATCGTCATTTAGAATCTCTAATTGACGTAAACTGAAAGCCTTCCAGTGGTGGGTGGCTGGGTGGGTGGGCACAGATTGGCTGTGACACTGCCACAGATGGGGCCCTGACGTAAAAAGCAGATATGATGGAGGACATGATGGAAGCGTATGAGAGAGACCATCATTAAAATTTAAACATCAATTACAGATTGGGTGCATGAGTACACATGGCAATGGTTCTAACAGCTAGAACTCATATCTTTCTTAGACCCGTATATTCTCAGTTTGCTACCAAATTCTCCCCACTATATATGATTGCTGTGACGTACTTCGTCCACCCAGAGCAGAACGTCTTGCAGCAGAATTTTGTGTCCATTTCAGCCAATTTCCTACTATTTCATCCGTTTATATATATTTATACATTATACATATATTAGGTTGTTTTGAATTCTTGAAATAGATTTAAAGATTTCACACAAATAAAATGATCACTTGAGAGTTGCTGTTAAGTAGGTATAAGTCCCTTGATAAATTTAATACTTATTGCTCACACACAGCAAAAATCTTTTCTATTGTTAAGTTAGTACTTTACAGCATTCTTAAGTGTACCTGTTACATGTTTTTCGTGTGATCTTTTATAATAATAATAATAATAATAACAACTTTTTTTTTATAGCGCCTTTCAAGGTACCCAGATGGTGTACAGAATGTGTAATATCCTTATCAACTGCTGCATTAAATACATAAGAGTTCAAAGAAAAGAATTGGTGCAAACATCTGGTTCCACACATAAATAAAAAAGTGACACTATTACTTTAGCATGTGTAAAACACCTGTAGCAACCAGTCATAGAGGGCGAAACAGCTCTCTTGCACCACCTATTGGCCCATTGTCAAAAATACATGCCATATGCAGTATTTATGCTCAAAGGCAATAATGCTGACACTCACAGTTAATATAGAGATTAAATCTGCCAAACATGATAATACTGGCACCTGGCCACTTTATAAAAGTGTGACAAGTCTTAATAGTAATCATCAACCAGAGGGACTTTTTGATAAAATTTATTTCGCGAAGTGTTTAAGTGATACATGTTTCCTGGGATTGTCTTAACAATGATCCATCCTCCCCAACAACTGGGAGAGTAAATGAAAAGCAATTAAGTTTTTACTTACTTTTCACACAGACTGTACAATATGTTAATATACTGTGGCACAAGGGATACAAATGTTCAGCTTGAGTACCCTTGATTAGACCCAAACTTATTCCATCAAGTATCAGAAGCAGACAAAAGCCATACTATCAGTACACGTATTAAGTGTATATCAAGTCTCACTTATTTTATTTATTTATTTTTTTTATCAAAGATGTATAATCTCTAAAATCCCATTCAGAGATTTCAAACACAATTACAGTGTTAATTTGTTCTGGTTTTCTTTAAAAAGACCTTCCTGTGTGCTTCGGTTCTCTAGCCATGAACACATCTACATCGTCATCTGGAGGAGCACAGCTTCAGGAGAGATATACAAATCATGCTCCAAGACATATGAAGGCATTTCATACAATCAAATATATTGATTAAAAACAGTCAGTGAAACTGGTTGTTTTACATAATATCTGCAGAAGCAATCACAGGGACTAAGGCAGATAAAACGGAAAGTAGAATTATTGTAAGAGACCAGCTAAATCAAAAGAACAGCACTATGTGCAGCAAGACGTGTTTGAGTGGCGTGAGTCATCTAAATGAAAAAGCATTATTCCATAAGTGCCTCTCTTTGAGTGGCTCTTCCAGTTTTATTTTCAAAGACCTTTCTTCTGCTCAGAAAATGAAGAAACCAATGAAAAGGGATGTGGCAGTGAATAGACATGAACGAGTACAAAAAAATGGAGGGCCTTTCAGTTCAACCCTCATCTTTTGTGGTGTTATCCTCTAGATCGTCATCACTGTCTAAATCACTGTGGAGCCTCTTGGCCATGGTATTTCTGCTTCTCTCCTCCTTAGTCCCCTTCTTTAGCTGGACTGGTAATGGTTTCACTGGTTCAAAAACAAAAAGAGAGAAAACATGGTTACCATTAACGTAGAACTTTCTTTTTAATTTTTAAATTCCTAAAGTCGGGTTGTTAAATGTAAGAACAACCAGCAAACAATAATTTGTCCTCATGTGCATTTATCTTTCACTGTTTGTTTCATCTCTCACCTGCTGATGGAACAAACTGGTCTTCAGCTCTGCCGCCATTATCACTGTGACCGGCGCGAACCGTCTCTTTCTGTTCCTCGTCTGTGACGATTCTCTGTCTCGCGCTCTCGAAAACAGACTTAATCACAATTGAATCCTCGTAGATCTGCAGTGGTAAACAGAAACACATGCAAGCGAACACACACACACACACACACACACACACACACACACACACACACACACACACACACACACACACACACACACACACACACACAGATAATCAGAGCCACATCAAGATCCAAACCCATTTAGCAGCACCATGATAGAATGGAGACTGTGAAAAATAATTCTGTTGCTTTCAAGAGAACAAATTCCTCGGGTTTCACCTGAGATCCCTCCAGGTTGTAAGTCTGAGCGTTGTGACACAGGAGGAAAATGTCCTTCTCTAAATCCCCCACACTTCTGTACTTGTGATTACGCACACGTTCCTGTGAAGCAGAGGGTCAGTATCAAACCTTAATGCGACCATTGCAACAAAGCCATCAATAAACCATTTCATATTAGTATTCTCATAAGGTAAAACAAAAACCCGGGCAGGTGTCCCGTCTTCAAGGACACGTTAGTAAATACTTTTTTTTCCCTCTTCTTTTGTCTCTTTCTTGTACATAAAATATAAAGCTAGAGCTAGCAGCTAATTAGCTTAGCTTAGCATGAAAACTGGAAGCGGGGTAAACATTTAAGCTCGCTCTATCTGAAGGTAAAAACACAAAAGAAGAAGAAATCCACCTGGCAGCCCCTCTAATCCTCACTAATCACCGTACCATGTGTGACTAATTTCAGGTCATTTGTTCTCTCCTGAAGGACAACAGGTAACTCTAGCAAGCACAATTTCAACTACAACCACCTCAGTGTTGCGTGGACACACATTTCAAAGGTTTTGAGTAAGATGAGAGTGAGTAGATGTTTTCATCAATTTTTTAGTCTTTTGGAGAGATAACCAAACCTTTGATGTTTTACTGAACCAAAACCTTACATCTGAAGTTTTCTGTAGCTAACAAAACATGTTCCATGAAGCCTTACCTGTGTTTGTGGCTTAGTTTTGCCTGACTGAGCAGGATGTTTATTATGTTATGCCACTTATTTCGAGGTGAATACTAGTACCTAGTAGATATATATATATATATATATATATATATATACTACAGTAGATAGTCTTGTGGAAAGTTGCATGTGAAATACTCTGAACATAATAACATAATAAAAACACACAAAACACTGATGGGTTGAGGATTGCTAAAAACATATTGTACAATATAGGAGACAAGCAAACTTCATCACCAAAGTCTCAAAGTGGAAACAAAACTTCCCCTCTTTATAGTTTTCTTGGATACAAAGCTGAGGAATATGATTGGCTCTCTGTCCAAAAACATCCTGATATTAACCGATTATAAAAAGCCACGAGCGGTCCACACGCTGTCCACGGGCCAACATGAACTGACCACATGCATAAGATTCACAGGATTACAAGGGGCCTCTGCTTCATGATAACAAAGAACATCTGGTTTCACTTTAACATCCCTCAGCTGCTCTTCCCCTCGAAGCAAAGAAACATAAATAAATAAATGATAAAGAAATGTTTCATGCTAATTTTACTTTCACAGTAGCTACTAAATAAAGCTACTGAGCAGGTCTTTTCTACTTGTCTACTTGGTGGCTTCGCATTCATGTCAGATTTTATTATTTTTGGAGTTGGGCTCGTTGGTGGTGTCATTCAGATGCGTTGGCTGGTTAGCGCGTTGCTTATAGCTTTTTGTTTTTTGGTTTGTGTGTGTCATACTTTATTTTTACCCACTCTGTAAATGAATGAAGACGCAGTGTTCTTTCTAGCTGTTGGCATGACATGCTCTAGGGATGGGAGGGTTTTCCAGACTGAAATTTCTCAACAAATCAGACGGATTGCCATGAAATTTGGTACAAACTCGAAATGATGGTTTCCAGAGGATGAATCCTAAGGACTTTCGCGATCCCTCGACTTTTTCCTGTACCTCCTCTGTGAGGTTGACATTTGTGTTATTGCATATAATGTCTTGAACTATTGAATGCATTGACATGAAACTGGTAAATACGGTACATTCATGTTCACATTCACGTTCTCCTCAGGACGGGATGTAATCACTTATAATCCACTTTGTTATCTGGAGCTGTCATCAGGTTAAAGTTTTAATTTGTCTAATACTTTCCAAGTATCTGCAAAATTAATGACATTCCATCTGCTTCGGCTTTACTAAATGTAGAGCTAATTAGCAAATTTCATGCTAACACACTAAAATAAGATGCTGATGGAAAACATTAAAGATGCTAAATTTCAGTATGTTTACACTGTCATTGTCGCTCAGCTCAAAGCACCATTGTGCCTAAGTACAGCCTCTTAGAATAAAATAACTAACATACAATATTAATTAAAAAACACTTCCATTGTTGTCACCTCCATCAAGTGTCAGGTGCCTCAAAACACAAAAAATAATAACAAGTCTTTATATAAGTCTAATCTTTTGAATTTGGGACTCACGTCATGTGACTCGACTCACTTCACTTCTGGCACCTGCTGCAAATCTTTCACTAGTTGCTGTGCAGTATTGTTCTTCATATTAAAATGTAGTTTTTATGTTTATATTTAAGCTGTAAATATCACAAGATGCTAAGAATTTGGATCATTCAAAGAAATATGTCCAACACATCTAAGTCTGAGTGGTAGCGATGGTTCCTTTTAAAGTATTTCCAAACTGATGACACACGTGTATAATCTATTTGGCACCACACTGTACCTGAGCACTATTTTAGCTTCATCTCAATTACTATTTACTAAAAAAAAAAGTCTTTGAATATTCAGGAAAGACTCTTTTGTGTTTTTTGATGTATTATGTATCTGCTGGAGTTTCACGTACCCTGATCCTTCTGAAGTCCACGGGCTTTCGGATCAGCTCGTAGTACTCAGGTACCTCCTTTTTAGAGGGAAGCTGCACAAAACCTTTACTGATCTGTCGACCCAACCTGGAAGCACAATGCAACAGATCACATACTCTCAGTTTATCAAGAAACAGTTTGATGATATTGTCAGTATATGGTTGAGATTTTCAGAAACACAGAACAGCCATGTTTGCTCTCAGTGTTTTTTACACTGCAGTAATAACTTATTTTATTATCTTCAGACAACAAATTCTAATTTTGTGGGGCTCATTCTCCTTTTCCTAAAGCATCATTATCTATTTGAAGATAATGATTAAATCACTTTGTTATCTGCAGTTACCAATTTTTTTTCAAATCAGTGGTTAAATATCTTCTTATCTCTAGATAACAGATAACAAGTTGTCATCATCCCAGGTTTAGTGCTACATTAATGTTTAGCCAGGCAGAATTGAAACAAACAACTTCAAATTATTATTAGGCAGGAATAGAAAAAATATTTAAAGCTAAACTGAACTTTCAGCTCAGTCCAGCAGCAAGTGGTGCGATGATGCTTAAACAGCCACTGCAAAACTTAAAAGATGCGACAGCCGGAAAATTGTAATTCTGAACCCTGTTACTAGATTTATGTGATTAATTTTGACGGTATGAAATGCCTCCTCTGTTTTGAAGAGACTTTATCTGCACCGTCTACAAACTCAACAAGCCAATATACATTTCCCAATAGAGTATGGAGAGCGTCTACAGTAGAACAACAGGAATTATGTGTTCAGACAGAACGTGAGGCAAATGTTAGAGAGATGAAGTTTCAACTTCAACTTGAACAAAAAGTATGCAGGTTTCCCGCAGCTTTATGAAAATGGCAAGAAAGCTGAACTGAACACAAACACACAGACACACTCCATAACACACGGTTGGTGCGTCCATTGCTAGCTACCACAAAGCTAACGTCTGTACAGCTATTAAAATGGATGGATGCTTTTTTTATTTATTTATTTATTTACTTGATTTCTAAACAAAAACTGTTATTAGCCACGCTGTACTTTGTGTTTAGTAATTAGCATTGACAATGTAAGCCAGCATGCTGAGATTAGCATTTAGCTCAAAGCAACACTGTACTCAAGCATAGCCTCACAGAGCTGCTAGCAAGGCTACAGATTCTTAGGGGCCTTTTAAACAGAGATCCCACTATATTGCTGTTAAGACCCCTCGCTCTGCCGTCCTGGCATGACGTGTAACACAAGAGCGTTGGCATCCTGTCCCGCCATGCCGGCTCTCCATTTTACACAGATGTCGATCCGGCTTTGTGAATCCCTCCGCTGCCGGTTTAAAGCCGGAACAACGATGGACCCGATTCTACGTTCATACGTTTCATACAGAGCGCCGAGGTGGAATAAAGATACAGCACTCCTGCCTTTAACAGGCGGTTAAAAAAGACCTCACCTCCACCTCACAAACTATCTGCTAAAACTATATTAGACAAAGATTGAACATTTTGAAGTAACTATATTATTTTGTTGGGATTAAAGGTGTTAAAAATATGAGCATGAAAAACTGCGCTTTTCTTCAGTATTTTGTGATAATGAATGAATTCATGTTCATAAGAAGTAATCTGATGTCTGCATTTAATGAGAACATTATGTGTAAAATAAGAGTAAAAAGAGCTCGAAGCTTCTGATAAAATTGCTTTGTAAAGATTTCTGTAAAAACAAAACAGGTTTTTCATCAGCTTGTTCATGCATTTTTCGACTAACAATTATTATAATCTCCAAATTATTGAGCATCCTCACCCGTCCTTGTAGTTGATGACCATGTCCACCAGCGTGTTCAGCGTTCTGGTGAGCTCAGGTGGATTTGGAGGCAGTTTCTCAGCTGGTGGGCGCCCTCGCTTCCTCTTGACCTTTTCGCCAGTTTCCTGCCCGGCCTGCAGCACTTTCTCTCCATGATGATCACCTTTACGCTTCTTCAGACTGATGTCCTCCTCCATGTCCTCCAGGGAGCCGTTCTCTCCTGCCTCAGGCTGCAGGAAGAGGGAGCGATGGGTGGGGACATCTAACAAACTCAAACAAACTTATAAGGGTGGAGTAAGGTGGCCGAAACACTGTGTGATAAAAACATGCACTGGACATATACAGACAAAGCCTGTAAAATTCTCACTCTGTTGTTCACTTCATATTTCAACATTACATGGACAAAAACAATTGAGGAATGGGAGGCAAGAAGAAGAACTGTGACTGATTTCTATTCATTTTAACTCTTTCCTTGACTTTCATGTGACAGCAACTGCTACACACAGTATATGTTTTCACAGACAGAAACCTACAGCACTTCACACAGCGAGTCCGAGTCTAACACCCTCAAATTAAAGCACTCACAATCTCCATCTAATTAGCAGCACTGGCTGGAGTTTAAGCATTCAGAATTATAGAGTATGGCTCTGTATTCAAATGAAAGAGGGTTTATTTATTTATTACAATAGCATCTGAATTTGCATGGACTGGAGCGATCCAACTGCTGCGCTGTCTCTGCAAATTTAGGACAGATTATTGTATCTGGAGGCTTTGATGTCAGATGATTATCGAGGGAAGGCACTTTTTTTTTTCTTTTCTTTTCTTTTTTTTTTAAATTGCACAATGGATCTGAATAAATTTGAAGAAGCCATGTTCTACCAACGCACAGTCTAAAAATGCTAATAATGCAATAAATATTAATCTATATTTTCCCTGGTTTGCACTTGCCTTCATGCACAAATATGAGATTGAAACATGATTTTAGGTTTGTGGTTTTCATCAAGGGTGCCTGCTGCATCCCGTGTTATTATCGCTCCTTTTCGAATATCTGCAGCAAGCACAGTTTTTTCCACAAAGGCAATTAGAGGCCAGAAACATGAGTATGCATGCAGCAAGAACAGCTCTAGCAGCAGCAGCAGCAGCAGCAGCAGCAGCAAGCCGGCTGAGGAGAACAGGGAGGAAATAGAGAAGGCATGCTGTCCAATCCAAACAGAATATTGATGTATCAATCATATACAGGCTCACACAGCACACACACACCAGCATTCACATCGTATAGATAGAGCATGCACTTGGGAGCATGCATTTCTCAAGGACGAGGAGATGAAAGCATCCTGAAATATGACATTTTGCACACAGCCGGTCAGAGGAAGTGTAACAGCAGCAAACCATAACAATTCTCACGCCTGACCAAAAAAAAAAAAAAAAAAAAAAAAAAAAAAAAAAATAGGACTCATGGCACAACAGTAAAAATCAAAATGCATGCCTGCACTTCCCAACCACAAGACATGGCAGAGAATTGAGTTAGAGGACACAACACTAGAGAGGCAACAATAGAAATCCTGCTCATGATCGCTCGGCTCAAATGTAGGCTTTGAAAGCCCCGCTACTCTCTCTGAGGGGCTGCAATCGTTCCAGCGGAATACTGGAGGGATAGAGGGTAATCCTCAAAGATGTATAACACAGCTGAGAGCTGCCTGATTGACTGTGTATGTGTGAGTGGAAGGGTGTCAGTGTGTGTGCATGTGATGCTCCATGCCTGTGCTATCTCCTAACAAGCCTGCCTCTTCCCTGACTAATCTGGCAAAGATTCCCTCTCATCTGTTACAACACACACCTACACACTCCCTCTCTCCCCCTGCTCTCACTCACACACACACACTCACACACACACACACATACACAGACAGACACGAATAAACTCACAGAGACACTCGCTCTCTTTCCCTTGCGCGCACACACACACACACACACTCACACACACACACAAACACACACACTCACACACACATTTTATCCATCTCTTCCTCTCTTCCCATGCGATGTAGCCTGGCTGAATCCTGAGCCCGAGAAGAAAGACATGGAGAAGGGTATTTACCTGACTGCAATCTGCAGGCTGGCTATCAGGATCGGCTGCAGCTGTGGGGGAGAGAATTAGCAAGCCAGCATAGCGGCGAGCTGCTAGTCTCTTCATCAGCTGATCACTCAGAAGCAGAGCCCAGAAGGGGGGAGAATAAAAGCGCTATGTTTTCATATACAAATCAATGGGCTGGGGGAAAATATAAATGCCATACCCATCTCCTGTCTGCAGCTCTCCGACGTCTTTTTCCTGACTCTGGAAGGCCCCGAGCTTGTCTCCCTCTGCATGTTTTTAATATCGACTGTTGCCAGACGTTTTTTTTTTTTTTTCTTCTCTCTCTTCCTACCCTGCTGTTAAAGTTATCGGGTCCATTTTTTTTTTTTTATATTATTATTTTTTTAATTTCTGCATTGCATTTTTAGAGGGAGCGTGCCATTTCATGTCAACTCATGCAGGGATCTCAGACACAAACATGAGTCCAGCCTGCAGCAGCAACACGGATATTCATGGTTCATGGTGAGGAGCACGTTACCATGTGCAGCCGTCCCCCCAACCCCCAGAATTCCAGCATGGTGATTAATGCATAAATATTGACTCAGGTTACACTTAATTCCTCAGCCAAGACAGCAAGGGGAAAAAAAAAATACCTCTGCAACATTGAGCTGTAACAATTGCAGCAACAACACAAAAAAAAAACAGTGTTTTTGTAGTTTGGACTCATATTCAGACACATCTGGTTTCTGTGAACCAATTAGAGTGTTTTTTTTTCCACCAGCATGTTGTGCAAAATGCTGCTGGAAAACAGCACACAATGTTAGGAGCTCACACCACAGGAAATGAAGGGTACACAAAAAAATAGGATTGAGGTAAAAGATCCAGTTGCATGTTCTTCAAATAAAAGGTCAAACTCATGATGTTGGAGCACCGTCCTTTAGTTTAATGTAGAAACTTGGAAAACTGTAGGACCATGGCTCCTGGGACTCAGTGGAAACAGAGAGAAAAACACGTACATGGCAGGAACAGGCAATCCACTGCGGTACTTTTCATGCCATGCAGCTAAGTCAAGTGTTGGGGGGCCAGGGCCATTTGTCATACTTAACTTTTACAGAGTGTATTTCTCCTACTCTTCCAGCATTACTGTAGCTAGGCTAAGCTGCTTTAAGCAAACATTTTAAATATACTTGTATCAAACACACTGATCTTTTAAACCTAAAGCCTCTGAAAATGTGGTTTCAAATCTCTCTAAACCATTAAATATTATTAAAATTGGCGGGGAAATCCTTAGTTTGTACTTATAAAAAGTTCAACACCAAAAAAAAAAAAAAAAAAATCTCAATCTCAAACTGCTTCCAACTCAACTGTGTCGGTGTGGTTTGATTTTTGGGCCACTTGGGGGCGGCGGAAACAAGTTGTGAACACAACACTTAACATATTATCACCTTTTATTATCACCCCTGGTGAACTTGTAAACAAACAGTTGCCCGTTTACACATCTAGCTGACGCCGAGCAAAGTTAGTATTAGCTTGGTGTTATGTTTCTGGCTACCTGATGAATGTAAAGTTCAGTATTATCGCTCTCTAATGGCTCTGCTCTTAGCTGTGCTGGGAACTTGGTGTACAGGGGTTGTTGAAGCTTTTTTGCTAAACAGTGGTGAGACTGGATCACAACCAGCGCTGAGAGAAGCTATAAAGCTCCATAGAGCTGCTGGATGGAACTGCAGAGAGAGGTGATAACTCTCTGTGGGGTTTTGATCTGTGTTTATTATGAAAATATTGTTTATAGCCACTTTAAGTAAACATTTTCAGGGTATCTGAATGAAACTAAAGGCTCTAAATGTCTGGACCAAATGGCAGTACATCTTATGGTGCTGCAGTTGAATGAGTTCATTCTGAGGCCTCTTCCACACTGAGCCAAAACTTACACTCGCAAACTTCCCTCTCATTAAGTTGCCGTGTCTTTTCAGGATGCCAGAAGAAAACCGTAAATCAGCCAAAGTCTTCATTTCTCAACTTATTTTTTTTTCATTAACATCTGTATGCTGTGATGAATTCTTGTATTATTATGTAAGGATTCACAGCAGGATTCAGTTTCATGACATGACACATTTAAAAATGTCAGTTGCCAACTATGTAACACAAGTGGTCTGTATCAGCTGTATTTGGACATGATTGTGTCTTACAGTGAGAAGAAGCGAAGAACTTTTAAACACACAAAACATACACAAAAAGCTGGACCACTTGCAGGCTTAAAATAATAAATCATTAGGCAGCAAATTAATCATTAGCCAGTAGATGTCATGAACATGCAACGCACTGGAGAGTAGACGGGAGGACTGTGCACACTGAAACCCTGTTTGTTGATGGTACAACTTGGCTCAGTGTGCTGGGTGATAATCTGCATGATATTATGACTACTCATTTCCTTGCATGCGAGCTTCATATGACATTCATTACCGTTTTAAGAAATGAAAAACAAATGGGAGCGCTCCTCTTGTTCTCCTTTCGAATGTGGCTCACATGACAATCCGTTCTAATAAGTTGTAAGGTGTAGCGGAGTCTCTACTGAAATAATAAGAGACTGAATGTGATGTGACTGTATTAGCAGTGAAACAGAGACATCATGTCAGTATTATGTTCTCAAGAACCACTTGCTCAAAACCGCTGTTACCATGGCAACAGCAAATTTTGATGGTGGACCTTGTATATCATTGTGTTTTATTGCTGTTGCTGGGAAATGACTCAGAGTGCTCTCAGCCACGCATGCACAAGCTCGCAGTAATGGAACACAGTGATACGTCGGGGAGGCGGAGGGAGGGAGGGGGTGACAGGGTTGGGGGGTGGGGGGGTGCACCGGGAAGGATGACAACATAATTTTATACATCTATCCTGTCTTTTTATGGAAGCTTTCCATCTCTCTTTCTACACCCAAGCACCACTTTTAAAAAGCAAAAATGTAAATTATGTACACGCAGAAAACAAACGCACAGAAACCATGTGTTTCACTGTCAGATGATAAAACTGAGAGATTGATTCAGAAAAAATAGGCTGTGATTTCTTATAATTTATAGCTTATCAGATATTCATTCACCATCAGTGTCCGTATGTAAAATTAAACAATGACAGTCTCTCAGTTGCAGGGCTGATGCAGAATTGAATGATTGCCCCACAAACCCTCAGCCTGGACTGTACCAGAACTCAGGTTATTCTGTTGTTTAATAGATGATTCACAGCTTATTCAAAGCTTAAATTCAGTTTAAATGTGCAATGGTGCACAAATATGGACATTCCTTATGAAACAGTTAATGAATGTTCAATTAAAAAAAAAAAAATTAACAGACAAGTGAGGAACAGGATGAAACACAGAGGACAATACCTGCTGCGGTGGAAGAAATGGCGAGGTGAGAGGGGCGAGTAATTTCTGTCTCAGAGGAGAAGAGAGAGCTGGGTGTAAAGGGGTGAATCAAACTGGTGTCTGCCAGACTGGAAAATGGGGGAAAGAAGTGTTGATGACCCACTGAAGGTTCAGCAGGCGTTTTTCTCAACTGCTCCAGTTACTTAATAAGAGAGATGTCAGATACATTCATCCAAGAAGCCTGCTGAAATTGAAACCTCTTGAATGGAAAAAAAAAGGCCCCAGAAAAGAGTTTATACATTTATCAAAGACTGTACTTTTTTGGAGGTGTTTTTGCTTCATTTGATTTGTGGCCAGCAGCAGAGAGGCACATACAAAAAAATATATATTTTTAAGTCCCCTTACCCAGCGTAGAAACAGACAACGCTGTTTTTTTTAAGTTTAATTAATTTCCCTTCATGAAATAGATACAATAAATGTGTAACTATAAAATGTGTATTACCTTATCAAACACATACTGTAATTGTAATACACATTCATTTGGGAATTTAAGTTTACAAATAAACTACTAAATATTGATTCAAATCCAATTGAAAGAAATACCTATGATGATAAGAGGGCGTTGGAGTCAGTGATGATTAGTCACTTTATTCACAGAGGAGAAAACATTCGGCTGTCCAGCCTTCATCAATGGCAAACCAATACATCATAATATAGATGCCACTTAAAGGAGTAGTTCAACATTTTGGGAAATTTGTTTATTCCCCTTTTTTTTTGCAGAGAGTTAGATGACATGATCAACAGCACTCTCACGTCTGTCTAAAGCTACAGCCAGCAGACAATTAGCTTAGCTTAGCATAAAGAGTGGAAACAGCTTGTCTGGTAAAAAGAAATCCACCTACCAGCACCTCCAAAGCTCACATTAATAGGTTATATTTCATTTGTTTGGTCTGTACCACAACCAAGCTACCTTCATCTTTAACAGACAGAAAGCTAATAAGCATATTTCCCAAAGTGCTGAAATATTCCTTCACATGTTATCAGCAACAACATATCCCATGAATTTTAGCAAAAGAAGCTCTGCAGCTGTAATTGCATGTTGTTTTAGTTTTGTTTGGAAAAATGACAAAATTAAAATTTGTTTAAAATATTTATCATGCATCATGATTTGTCTAGTAAAGCAGTAGAGATACAGCAAAGTATCAACTTATAAATACAAATACATTACAATAAAAATCTGGAAGTCTTTAATTTACTTTCTCCTATTTGTAGCTATTTATTATCCATTTTTTAAAAATTAATTTACATACTTGAGTTTGATGTTAATGTACTGTATTATTTTTGTATCTTCTTATTCTTGCAGTCATCAAATATTGCAATTATAAATATTATTTACAAAAAGAAAATTAAAATGATTAAAGGACTTTTGACAATTAATATAATTACATTAACTTAAATTTTATGAATACAAACTAGTGCTATACTCTGCCATGCATACATTACCTGCTGAGTTATAATATAATACACACTGTGCCATTATACAGACCATTGGATAATAACTAGTATTCTGTCAACTGGTGAATGATGATGTTAAAGAATCCATCGGACTAACTTGGTAAGTTTGAGCCCCCACCTCTTTTGTTATGGGGGCTTTGATACTGAATCACCTCGTAAATAAGATCCATGAAGAATCCATTCAGGCCTTGGGGTCGTCACATCATTCAAAAATATTTCTAGCGTCGGAGGAAGAGAGAGACTTTCCGCTGTGACGAGCAGCTGCCTGTTGAGACACAAACACAAGGACATACATGATTAAAAAAAAAAGTTAGAAACAACAACCTGAATACACACTTAGTTTCAGTGCTATGAAAATGCCGACCCACATACCCCTGTCTGTCCTTTTGAGAAGTTGGCATGAGCATAAAGGAGCACTGCGATGTCATTATGTCCTGCCTCCAATGCGATGGACAGGGCTGTGCTTTCATCCTGTTAACACACATAATCATACACATTATGACAGTACATATTTAATTATACAGAACTTCTAACCCCGTTGTTTCCCTGACATTTTAATGGAATTTCTTAAAATAAATAAATAAATAAATTGCTGTCTGCTTTCATAATTCAAATAATAAAATATGTGAGAAAGTTTGAGTGTTTCAGCTTCACAGCTTGAAGCCACCAGGCTCACAGAAGCTGCACAGAGTGGCAGCAGTGAGTCACATACACTGTCTGTCAGGGTGGCATCACAGTCCGGCTGCGCCAGCAGTAGTTTTACAATGTCAGCATGGCCATGCTCGCTTGCACACATCAGCGCAGTGGAGCCCTCATCATCCTGGAGATTGACCTCCGCCCCCTGTGCCAGGAGAGCCTGCACCATATCCATTCTGCCATGGCTCACAGCCAGCATCAGAGCGGTCTGACCGGCCTGGACGGCAGACAGCAGGGATCAAAGACAGGAAGCAGGGTTAATGATGCTGAGACGATACATCTCAAATTACAATTAATTTCCCACATAACCTCAGGTCTTTTTGTCAGTGGACAGGTCAGCAGAACATGCAAAAAATGTGACAGCATACAATTCAACATTTATGGAGTTTCCAATGATAAATTAATACTGAATGAATGAATATTTAATTGGATTTAAAATAAACCTTTCTCCACTTAGTAAGAAATTAACAACTTTTGAGTAATGTATAAGGAAATTATGGATTTAGAAAATAGTGTTACCAAAAATACAAAAAGTACTTAGATAGCATATCCAGTATTTCCATAAAAACTGCATATTTTCTATTCTAGGTTTATGTCCGAGGCCAAATTCAGTCCTGCATGAAATAATTTTCAGTAATAGCCACGCTTTGAATTGAATGGTTGTGAGTGAGTCTGAGAGCTGCAGTAAATATGAATTTTATCATTTAAACATGAACTTTAAAATGATAGAAAATGTACAAAATAAGCAAAAAAAAAAAAAAAAATGATGCAATAATGACAACTGACTAACTGGCTCCTGATAGGCCCACAGGTTTTACCAATTTTTCACTTTTACCTTTCGACTAACCTGACATTCACACACAAGATCTGAGCTACACAATTAGTACATGTACATTTACTCGTCAGACACTATTACCCAAAATTATTTACAAGTGAGGGACATTAATCCAAAAGAAAAAAATATAGTATATATATAGTAGAGTATATATGAAACAATCAAAACCTTTGAGACACCATAGTGAAACAAACTGTCAACAGGACATTACATCCACTAGCATTACCTGAGAACAGACTGACTCACCTGGCTGGCCTTTGCATTGACATCTCCTTTTGTGAAGAGCTGCACCACAACTCTCATGTCCTCTGGAGTTTCCACAGCTGCAAGTGCAGCCAGCATGATGGGTGTGTAGCCTGCTTTGTTCTGTTGATTCACGTTACACACCTCTGTGTGGTGGTCAGTCAGCGGAAAAAAAAGATGCACAAGAAAAAAAAAAAGGTCTACAATTACTTATTGAAGGTTGCAAACTCTTTTTAGCTACACTGACTGTACCAAGTTTACTACTGAAAAATAAAACGGCTCTACATAAAAGGTCCGTCATAAAAAGAGGTGTAGACTCATAGACATGGAAAACATGTCAGTACTCTCAAAATCCGTGCTTGAACTGCTCAGCAGCAATGATGCAAACACATTTCAGACTTGGACATCAAAGTGTTCTCAAATACCTATGGTTTCTTTGCTGTGCAATACAATTAAGAGTTCTCAAAGGCAAGCACTTTGAGAGTGCTGAAATTTCAGCTGCTAAAACACTCACTCAGTGCATTATGTGAAGCATCACACTACCCTGACACACTATCACACAGGGTCCATTTTCCTTATTTTCAGATACAGAATAAATGGAGGTTTCAGATGAAAAAGTAACACTTCTTGAGAGACTTCAGTGATGCAAAACCTTAAAATGTGTACTTTTGCTTATTATAAGTCTCTGTTCATCTAGCCTTAGAGATGTAAAGAGGTAAGCTCACTTCTGAAAACTCTAGCAAGGCTTTTAGATGAGAGTAAGACAGAGTACATATGTCCATCATTACACCTATTCAGTGTTTGCCAGTCCATTTTATATTGATTTAAGCCTCTGAATTGACTGGCCCTGAAGTATATCAATGAACTTTTGTTCCCTTTCAAACCTATCCACAGCTGGAGAAAAAGGTTGGAACAGTTCTTCATGATTTTGAAGGCTGATTTCTAAAGTAAATCTTCATTTCAAGTTGGAATAGTGCATAAAGAGGCACTGCTGTTGCACAAGTACTTGATGATCAATACAGTAATGCAGTCTAATTTGTCACCCGTTATGCAAAACTGGTTATGCAAAAGTAAAAAAATGTGTTCTATTCATTCTGTTTTTCATACAAGAAGACAGGGTTTCATTTTAGCAATATCTTTTTATTTGCTGTTATATTGTATATCATGAGTTCAAACTGTGCAGTAATGTCAGATAATGATTTCTACTGAACTGCTGATTGTCAATTGTCTGTGAAAGTAGTTTAAAATGAATGCTCTTGGGTGAAGCCACAGCAATAAGATATTAATGAAATAAGATATCTACACGTCAGATTCAGTTAGGACCTCATGATACACAGGAAAAGTCACTAATTTTTTGCTGATTTGCCCCCTAGTGGTTATTGGGAAGCATAGTAATGTTGACAGATAACACATTGAACCAGAGAATTCACTGGCCTCTGTGCAGTCCTGCTCAATCGTTCAGGATGCGTCACTTCTAAAAAAAAAAAAAAAAAAAAAAAAAAAAAAAAAAAAAACTGTGTCTGTGCTTCTTTCTCTGCCATTTATTGTTGTGTTATTCTATTCAAACGCAAAGTTATTGTAGCACAGGGTTAAAGAGTACCAGCAGGATAAGTCTCCTGTAACCTTTTTTTAGCCGTGCTTTAAGTGCAAACAGCAGAGAAAAATAAAGTCTCACTCCTACATAAAAGAAAAAGTAAAGTTAGAATACACAATGACCTCTAGTTGCCCTGTGAGTATCACTGTACCTGCATCAAGCAATTTCTTGACAATGCCAAAGTTGGAGTGTGACACGCTGTAGTGCAGAGCTGTGTTTCCATTGCCGTCAGCCATATTAGCAACGTGTTGCAATACTGATGGTGAAATGACCCGAAACGTTGACAAGTAGTCGTCCACGGTGTCAGGAGCTGCTGACTTGTGGCTGGACACAGAGAACCACTCCTGCTGGACTGTTTGTAGACAGTCATGCTGCAAGGGACAAAAGAATAATAATAATAAAAAATAAAAAAAAACTCAGGTATGTGTAAAAAAACAAAAAAACAAAAACAAACTAATGCATCCTCATGAATGCCATTCAAGTCTCCATAATTCACAGTGTACAGAACAATTTTTGCTCCGAAATAGATAGGTACATCTTGTAATTACAGGGATGTGACTGAAAGAACACAGACAAAGAGCATAATAAAGCAACAACTCACTATAAAAATCTCCAAAACAACATCATAAAAGAAGAGACTCAGGAATCTGTCTTCATTTAATCTGCAAAAGCTTTGTAGTATATTGAGTGTATTTTCTTTAAGTATTTCAAATTTCATTATGGGATCTATCTTGATTTTCCTTTTCAATATACTTCTTCTATTGATCTCCGTGTCTCTGTATCTGATTACCCAATTACTGCGAATGAGAAGAGTCTCTTTCACTAAGAAATATTATAATTTCTAAGTTCAGGAAAAATGCCACGGCAGAAAATTACAGAGTGACACACCCCTTTGCTTTTTTGTGTCCAATGCCAAAGTAATTTCTTTCTTAATGACATACTTGAACACACCCTGTCCAGGCATCTCCCCACATACCATTAAACTTGCACACGGACACACATACACACACACATACATATATATATATATATATATATACACACACACACCTTCAATGGCTCTCACAGTGAATATGGTGAACAAAACATACCAATTCCCTGCTGGATAAAGCTGTCTCATCACTCAGGTGCATCTTTAAGGCTTGACAGGCAGAGATAATCTTTGCACTTAACTTACACCTAAAAGAAACAACAGTAAATAAATTACAGAGTGCAAATTCAGACTTAGGAGGACGACTCAAAAGTCAGACTCACACCGTAAAATATCAGGACTAATGTGGTGAGGCTTTTTAATGCAGAAATCTTATTCAACTGGGAGATTATTTGGCTTAAAAACCCTTTAGACTCCTACATTACCTCTGTTGTGTGTGTGATTTTGCAGACCCTTTCGATGCCTTGTTGGAGCCACCTTTGCTCTTTCTTGCTTGCGTTCCACCTTGAGCTGCTTCCCTAAATTTTTTGTTTCCTCTCTTTTCCGCTTCCTCAGAGTTAACCCTCTCACCGACAGAGAGCTCGTAAGATGGCATGGGGTCAAGTCTAAGGACAATAAACAACAATGAAAAGTGCAGTGTTTAGCAGTAAATTATTAGTTTAGACGTTGGATGCTTACCCCGTTGTCACCCTCATAAACTTCATGCTCTTCCTGTTGCTGCTACAGCCTTGGTCACCGTTCTGTTTCTTCATCACAGACCGCAGCACAACAGAATTCGCTGATCTGTCTAGAAACAATGATGGAGCAAACGCCTCTGAATTTTTAACAAACCCAACACTTGACTTCTGCAGTGTATTTTATTAAATGCAAAACATACAGAATAGCAGATACAAACCCACTTGATTAATCTTGGCAGGACTTAGTGCGGATATATTCATGATGCTTTATATATTCTTACAAATCTGAAGATCTCATTTTTAAAAACAGAAAGTGTTCTGACACCAGATCCTCCTACGAAGCAATTCAATTTTAGACTCAAGGCCACAAACTGCTATGTGGTATGAGATGCCTTCCAAAACCAGATATCATTCCAAACATTGCAAGTGTATCCCTCAGAAAGTCAAACTTGCCAAGCCAAAGGCAGCCACTTCCTCTAGACCTAACACAAGTTTAAACTGGGCCTCAGGAGTGGTCTGGAAAATGAATATTTTTAAACTACTTTTGCACAGACGGTATCTCTTCTTATCCACCTCACGTTTAGAGCGTTAGAACATTATTGTTTAGGGTCATAACACATTAACACACGCACACGTTTTACCTTGCAGAGCTGAGGACGCTTGTTGTTCCAACATTTGTATCATTCTTTTCACCTCAGATTCATTTCCACCCTGTTGGCACATTCCTGGGTTTGTTTTGTCACATTTAGAAGAGTCGACTGAAAGCTGAGATGGAGACTGAAACTCTCTGCTGACTGTGGCAAAGACAGAGGACATTAGTGCATTTTTTTTTTTTTTTTTGGGAATGGTACCAACATGACATAACAGATATTACTTACAATATATTACATGATAACAATATACCATTAAAAAGGTGCCTTTTGACCACTAGTGGCACTATGGAGGAAAGTTAGTGATGATTGGGTCCCCATTTTGTTTGCAACCACAGGGATGTCCTGATACACTGTCCTGCTTGTGTTTAGCAAGCTGTATTGGGTAACTTGGTTTCATGCTGTTCCACTGAAGGAGCATTAGTCGAACTATGATGCCAAGAACTGTAGCATTGTACCAGCAAACAAAGGGAAAACGTAGAGTGATAGCCAATGTAAACTTGCATGTTATTGGCTTCCAAACTGCTCTTTAAAAAAAAAAAAAAAAAAATCCAAAGGGTACCTTTATAACTAACTTAATCCATACAGTACCTGGTGGCTGAGAACCTAAACGATGGACTTCTGTTCCTCCTTGTGCTGCAGCTTTGTTACTGTAGGGCATCTTAGAGCTGTCATTTCCTCGACTGCTGTGGTGCTTAGTGCAGTCCTCTGTAAGCAGGTCCCCGTGCTCCCCTAGGAGCTTCTGCATTTTCTCTATGTAATGGTTAAGCTCAGGGTCCCACTGGGACTGTGCAGAGTGGTGGAAACTCTGGCCAGGTGTGCTGGTTGGAACCGACAAATCTCGTATCCTCCCCTCCCCTACACCGATACTTCTTGTCTTGTTGGGGTCAGGTAGGTGGGACGGTCCAGAGGCCATGTTACGAGTTTTCAGTCCAACCAGGAAATTCTCATTGATGCTTGTGAACCCAACACCAGTGTCTCGGGTTACCTTGGCAATTGTCCCTGGTGTTTGATTTAAGGCATTTCCTTTCAGATTTGTAGTTCCTACACCGATCGTTCGGGTCTCTGGGGTGCATTTGATGTCTCTGACCCTGTTCCCCACAGACACAGTCCTAGTAACAGTTTGAGTGGTGTTGGTGTGCTTGTCCTGGGTACTGAGGAGAGTATTAGTGCTGGAGTCTGTGTTGAAGGCATCTCTGGTGTTAGTAAAGCGAGACACTGAGCTTGATACAGTGTTGGTACGCTGTGAAGCTGTCTGGGGTGACGCCATGATTCCCAGATCAACTCCTCTGATTGGATCTGTGGTCATACCTTGAGAAACCAGATCCTTTGGTTCAGAGATGATCACATCAACAGAACAGTCGCCACAAGCCACTGAATGATACTTCGTCTTTCCTTTCTTAGATCCCAGATTCTCCACTGGTACCTCTGTGTTGGTTTCTGCATCACATAACGTTATCACCGTCCCAACTCCTAGTGTGTTTGTAAAAACTTGGATTCCCACGCCCTTTTCCCTGGTCTCAACTCGCTCTCTGACCTCCCAGTGGCTTATGGGTAAATCTGGTCCTGTGCAAACATTCTTCAGCTCAGGCCCACGACAAGATACTCCAACAGTCTTCACCTCTGTTGCCTCCCCTGTGCTGGCATCCTGGACCTCTGTGTGATTACCCACTCCCTGGCTTGTGGTGTGAGGCCTCGCTTCAATGCCTGTGCTCGCAGTGGATGGTCTAGCAAGAGATGCTTTGTCAGCTCGGTTCCTAGCTCCTGCAGCCTGAAGCTCCAGTTTGAGACGGCTCATCTCTGTCTGGAGGGCTGATTCTTTTAATTCTGCTTCCAAGTGAGAAATTCTCTCCTTCAGGGCACCAATTATTAGTTGTTGGGCATCAAGCTCTGCTTCCCGATCTGTGTAAATTCCAAGATTAACTTCAGACACCTCTGTTGCAACGGATCTTGTTTCTACCTGATCAGTGTGCACATATTTGTTTTCTTTTGTGGGTTTAAACGAGATGATATCTTCATCAATTCCAACTGTGACTGACTTGATAACCTTGTCATGGATAGGGCTATGGCTTTTTCCATGCCATGCTTGCAAATGTCTGCCCTTGATGGTTCTTTCCAATGCCTGCATCTCTTCAGTCAGTTTCCTGAATTCCCTGACGTCTGTGGGGTCACTCTGCACTATGCTCTTCAGTTCCTCCTCAGTATTCACCTTGTTCTCAATATCAGACCGTTCCATGCTATGAGCTCTCCCCCAGATCATATCATTCATTTCCTCGTTGTCACTCTGGGTCTTGAGCTGAGAGACAAGTTGCCTCTTTTCCTCCTGAAGTACTGAGATTTTTACCTGAAGAACAGGAATGATTTTCACCTGCTCCTCCAGCTCCTTCAGCCTTTGCAGAGCTACCACCATCTGATCACGGACATGCTGCAGGTGCATGGGGCCGAGACCTGTAACTGGAGTGCTTCTACCAGAGCTCTGCGGGCTCGATCTCAGGCACCCTGTGCTGCCTCTACTGCCCAGGGACGAGCTAAGGGGGGCATGCATATCACCCCCTGTGCCACTAGGCTTGTTCCCATTGTTGTTCTGATTATATGCACCCAGGCCAGTGAACGGGGAGACTGACCCAGGGGAGCTTACCCCCCCAAAGCTGGCCAGTCGTCGACGAGGGTGGGGTTGAGGTGGAGGCTGGCTGGTCACCTCCTGCTCCAAGTGCTTATGGGTCTCCATCATGTTCTTTTCCACCACGGGGCTTTGTCTTTGTAAAGCAAGACATCTTACAGCAGGCTGAGGCTTTGACTCAGTAAGTATCTGTGACATCGCCTTGCCCTCATTCCTTGAGAGCTTGTTATCCAAGGATGAACCATGTGGTGGAGGAAGTGGTGGTCGACCTCTGGTTGTCGAAGACATGCCCAGTAGTCTTGTGTCATCAGTGCTAGATGATGACAGGGATTCTTCAGAACGCCACTGGCTGGGTGAAATACCTCTCTGTGTTTTTTCTGCATTATTGATGGCCGCTCTGGGCCTCCTCTTAAGGCTTAGCCGCTTAATGGTGGTGCCGTTTTGGAAATTGTCCACACACTTGAGGTAGTCTGCGTCTGACTGATAACTGTAGTCGATCCCAAGGTAATTAGGAAGATACACTTCAGTGATTTGACCTAGTAGACCAAAAGTGGAATAATAACAATTACTGTTGCATGGTAAAAAAAATTGTACAAACAGTGCAAAAATATTCTGATTGCATGTGATAAACAAACATAGGTAAAGAAAATCTCCTATATATTAAGAGTTTCAGTTTAAAACTACCTATAAAATTAGACATTAAATTTACACTATTTATATTGAAAATCTAAAGTGCTCTTAATTCTTCATGTATATGCAAAAACTACAATATGCTATGGAATATACAGTCTCTAAGCCTTATATTGCTTTATACTATACACTTTCTATCCTCTCAGTTTCTTTTTTCTCTCCTTACCTCAGTGTTATTCGTTCATCAGCAACCATTTCTATTCACATCTTCTTTTCGTCTGTCACCTCAAAATGTTTTTGACTATAATCTGAGTCTGTCCGAGTCTGTCCCACAAGAAGAGGAGGGACAGAGGAGGATTTACCAATCGTGTAGACTCTGTTTTCAGGAGTCACTTCTCTCCAAATGGTATGTCTCTCTACATAGACTGAACCCACTCTATAATTACTGTGCAACTCTCCCTCTAAATGTCCAACCATACTCTTGGCAAGTTTTTCTCACCCACAGACCATCCTCCAAGTATTTCAGCCAGTGAATAAACAAAAGTAGCACAAATATTTTACATTCACCAAATACTTGACACAATACAAATTGTAATTCATTAAACAAGTATAACTGTACTTGTACGGTAAATGTCCAACACTCAGTTAGGTTTTTTTTTAAACCATTCACTATAACTGTTATAAACCAAGAGGTAGAATACATTTTGTGAATTAAACATACAGAAATGTACAATCATGCACAAATTATTAAAAATGATAGAATTTAAATTATTAGCATACTGATAGTAATAGTTACCTGACACATTTCCCACGATGTAACTGCCTTGAGCCATGAATATGTTTCAGAAGGAATCAATAATGGAGCATCCAGTTAGGATAAATCTGAATAGATCTGGAAATAAAAGAAAAATGGTGAAGGTTAAAGATGCTTCAGATCTTTTTATCATTAGCTCTTACATGCAAGGTCCTACTGCATCAGTCCCTCTCTCTTACCTGCCCCCTGGATCAGCAGTCAATAATAACAAACCTAACAATGCTTACATAAAGGAAATGCTATACCAGGCCATGACATATTATAGTCAATTCTGCAAAGTGCACAAAAGTGACTCACCACATTGCACTGCCATATCACTTTCTCATCAGTAAGCATCTTCTGCTCTCAGCATGTGGAGGTTTTGTGGCCTGTGTGCAAGTAATGTACAGTGGCCCAGTTCTGTCAGTCTCTTATTTAGCACTTATAAAGAATCCCCCCTGTAAAAAAAAGCTAGTTACATGATGTTTATTATGGATAAAATAATTACATGAGCTAGATAAGACTGTAAAATAATAGCCACACACAGATCACTAATAATATGTTGGAGATCTGTTTACTATGCAGCATGACCTATGGACTATGTAACATTTAGTGTAAGTTTTACATGTGCATCTGCAAGAAAATATTTGATGTATATAAAAGAAATTCACATTAAAAATAAGGCATCAATCAGTCTCCACACTGACACCTAAAGGCACTTACTTTATTTTTATCTGGATTCTGTGCGAACAAGTGACATTAAGCCTCTGGCAATAAATCTAATAAGTTTCACAAGCTGTCTTTGGAGTCAGCCACAGTGAACCTAAGTACTATTTCTGCTGCTCTCAAGATGAATGTTAAAAAGACTTGGGGAGAAACACAACATAGGAGAGAAGAGTCAAGTTTGCATTTAAGGGACAGAAGAAATGCATGAAAAACAGAATCTGGAACTAACAATGAAAGTTCGAATGAGTTAGACAAGGATTAAAAAATTTGATTTAAATACCGAATAACGTGGTACCGCTTACATAAATGCCATTATTTAAATGTATTTTAGATACAGAGCATCTTTTCTATACACAAAGCAACTCGCATATCCTCTTTCATTCGTCCAATGATTCATTCACTAACTTACACAGTAGTGACTGACCTGCAGGGGCACTGCATGTGTTCTCCCTAATGCATACCCATGTAAGTTTGGCACATAGTCAAATACCCAGCTGACATTTTCTGTTTCTTGATAATAAGCTCAGTGCCACTACTGACTAAAATAGGAAGAGGTATTGAATTAATGTGGTACTTATTTCTTTTAAAATAAATAGAGTATAATATGTATCCTTGCTGTTCATCTCAAAGGTTTATTAGACTTCTAGTACAGATTTCAGCAACATTACCTGTTCAAATAGCCTGGCACAGAACAAGGCTCACTGCTGTTATAAGACCATATTTAATGGGATTTACTTCAGCCTGATTTTTATTTTTATTATCTATAATAAATTAATTAAAAAACACTAAACTTCAGCTTTTATCAGGGGGCAAAATAACTTTATTGGAGGGCTGGATTTGGCCAACAAGCTACTATATATGTGACTATCACTGGCCCATAATTCCATACTGGATGTATTTTACTAAGGCTTTAACGTTCTGGAAAATACTATTTAAGTTAGGCAGCTAAAATTCCTACTTAACTCCTGCAAACTGTTACACAATGGGTTGTGATCATTTAAGGTCCAATATTGAAGAAAGTGAGACTTCCATGCCATTATTGACTGTGATAGAAATACTGTGAAACTATCAAAGTGCTCAGTCCATGGAGAAATACACATAGCTCGTATTCAGAAACTGTACCTCAAGCACAAATATATCTTCTGCTGGATATCAAAGCTTCAAATGAAACACCAGAAAAGTAGAAAATATGGGACCTTTAAGAGAATCTCTTACCAATGTAAGTCTGTACCTGTGGTTCCTAATTTGGGAGTCATAAGGTAAGTCTAAATGTTCACAAAATGACTACCAGTATAGGTAAGAAAGATTTTTTTTCCAGACTTACTTCTAACGTTTGCGTTTTTTTCTTCTGAATTGCTAGATTTTGACTCAAAATAAATATGAAAATAATAGGAGCTGATCTTAACTAGCAAATACATGCCACTGGTGACAAGGGGTCCCAGGTAGACATTGTCTAAATGGGTCTCAAGCTGGAATTAATTTGCAGGAGTTTTGGGAATTCTCATTATCATTTAGCTTTTAAGATGAAATTAATCAAAGAATTGCTCTCATTTGTAACCACAATCACTAAAACGCTGCACTGTGTGTTGTTTAATTTGACATAAGTGCAAAATGCGTCATATAAAAAGGGACACACATTAGCATGCAACATTTACACCACTTACCCTCCATCAACAGCAGCACGGCTGGATGTTGCCTCAGCCTGACGCCTTGTGGCCACGCTGAGAGAACACAATTAAATTTAAACTATGACTCTATAATATAATATAATACTGTTGCAGAGCTCTCACTTGACTTCTTCCTATGGTGACCAAAACGTTTTGTTTTTTCTGCTTTAAAATTGAGCTTAAGTCAGTCCGCATCCACCTGTTAGCTAGCTAGTCACTCACCTGTGCAGGAGGAGAAGTGGACACCTACAAAATGTTCGGTGATGTACAGGTTAAAAATAATGTCTCACAGTCGCCTTAACAATCGACAAATGTCGAACAGCAACCTCTCGATATTAAAACGATGGCAAATTCATCTTTCTTACTTTTTAAACCTTTGTTTAAAACTGTGAAACGCCACTCCTGTGAAGAAAGAAGTTTTCACTCTCCAGGAGCAGGGCGGCTACTGCGCGTGCGCTGAGAGCTATCAACATGTAGCCTACAGCAGGTGCTCATGGTCAGGTGATAAATGGTCCCTAGTGAAATATTGATGATGTCTTTTCTTCTGTTAAATGGATTACACAGCATTAAGACTACTTGATTTTTTCCCCCTATATTGTCTCTGAAGCTTTCATACAACTTTCTGCAGGACTAGCCAACATCAAATATTATATTTTAATGACCTTTTATAGAAAATATGTTATTTTTTGAATGCAGTTTTCTCAACACAAACTTAAATATAGCTATGACAGTTTTCCAATGATACTCTCTAAATTCACATTTTCCTTCAGTGACATAATAGAGAGAGATAATTGAAGTTACTCTTTTCTAAAGCCGAATATTTTATTTATTTATTTATTTATTAATCATTTTATATTGTTTATATTTGCAGGATGTTACTGGACCCGAGCTGCTTTGATGCTGCTGAAATCTTAAGGGCAGTACAAAGTAACTGCATTGTTACAGTTACAGCCTCAACAGCAGAATCAACAGTAGGAAGTGACATGCGCCTTAGAATTAAATCTTTGCCCAGACTTCATTTATATTCCACAGCATGTAAGCTGCACAGTGACATCATGTGGACACGGTAGAGAAATACATTTTACGCTTCACACAAGGTCAGCAATATCGAAGTTGTTCCTTTAGAGTAAGAGTGGCAGTCCCAGTGGAACAAAAAGGCTCATGTTAGTGTAACTTATTCATTTTGTATGTGTAGCAAAGGATCCATCCAACCAAAATCTGTCTGTAATTGTTGTAGCTCTCTTGTGCTGGTCTGCAAGTATGCAGGTAGCCGTCACACATGACCTCATAGCGCTCTCTATTATCATGCCTGGTATCTTAAGGTCAAAGTTCAACTTATGTTGTAAGTCCACTAACACCATGAACCATGTGAGGTCCTTTCCATGTTTGTGTCGTGGACAGAGACAGTCATAAACTAATAATTATATGCAGACAACATTCAACACTGCTCCCTCTATATGTGGCTGATTATTACTTCACAAATACTGTTTTATCAGCACATGTGAAATTAAAGGTGTTATATAAGAACAAGCAGGGTAGACAAGGACAATGAGTCCCATGACTTGAACTTTACACTTCTTGGATCATGCAGAGAAGGCATGATTTTAAGCAGTGTGTGTAGTGTGTCCACAGAAATGCTGAGACCAGTACAAGCTGTGCATCAATTTATTAATATAAATAAATAATAAATAAGATTGTAAGTGAGGGGGAAAAGGAGAAAATGTTTTGGTAACTGTATATTTTGGCATAAAGCATGTCATAAATTGTTTTGCACTTTGAACTAAACAACTGATGCTCATCTGTTCAAAAACAATAGGACGCATATAGTACTTGTTGATCTGATATAAGGAATCAGACTGCGCACACACTATGTCAACTGTGTTGAGACTAAGTGCCGTTTCAACTGTAACATCAAACTATTTTGATTAATAAAGTAATTTGCATGCTTACAGCTTACATTTAGTGTAACTTTTAAGTTCTGACTGAAAAAAAACACATAATCTCAAATCAGAGTGTGGAGCAACTGATTCAGGTTGGAGCCTTTGTGACGTTAACACAAAAAATGTCCACTATCTTTGAACTTTGGTCTTTTAAACCCATAGTTACAGAAGTGATCAAATCATTCCCTGACTAGGAAAAAAGGACACCTGTGATTGGTTGGAAGAGTTGCACACCCCTGTCCCTTCCCCTATCTCAGTTCTAGAGGCTACTTTTTAACTTTGGGTCAATGCTCTCCTATTTCACTTTAGGCATTAGGTCCCAGTCCCAGTCCCACACCTGACAGCAAAATGTCTGACAAAGGATCCTTCGATACCAACGTGCTGACCCTCACCAGGTTTGTTCTGGAGGAGGGCAGGAAGGCACAAGGGACAGGTGAGCTGACTAACCTGCTCAACTCCATCTGCACTGCTGTCAAAGCCATTTCCACTGCTGTCAGGAAGGCTGGGATCGCTAACCTGTGAGTAATATTTCCTTTTTCATTTTCTGTACTCCAGGGTGGGGAAAATAACAAAGCCATGCATCTGAACATGAAGGTGAATAGGATTAAAGAGGGGGGTAAAACTACAGTATGCACCCAATTAAACTTTTACGAATCAATCAAGGTTATTATTGTTTAATGATTTCCATTTTAACATTACTTTTACTATGTTTTTCTTTCATTTAAATGTGTGCTAAATAGGAATTGACATCTGGGTTTAGTGATAGTTTTAGTTGCATGCAGCATGGCATGAGAATCAGTAAGCAGTTTTAACTTAGCCCCTGGCCAAAGGTAAAGACTGCACATGTTGTGCACAATGCCCCAGGTCAGAGGTCAAGAAGATAATGGGCTTGTCATACGTTTCTCACAATGTGGAAATAAATTATTAAAATGGCACTTAACAAAACAAATATATGTGAATTATCACATTTCCTTAACTGTGTTTTAGAGTTGCATAAAAATGGATAGCTTTTATTTATGCCTTGAAAACTTCAGTATGCTCATTTTTCCTTTCTTAAAAAGATATGGCATCGCTGGAAGCACCAACGTGACAGGGGACCAGGTGAAGAAGCTTGATGTCCTGTCCAACGACCTGGTCATCAACATGCTCAAGTCTTCCTTCTCCTCCTGCATGCTTGTGTCAGAGGAAGACGAGAGGGCCCTCATTGTGGAACCAGACAAGAGAGTATGTGCATCTGTGCAGTGTAAGCCTGTATGGCTGTGTGAATATGTGCCATTTCTCTTTATTTGATAGGTTAAGTTTTTTTTAGCATTACTGCGACACTGATCAAATTATTTTTCTCAACTGACAGGGAAAATACATTGTGTGCTTTGATCCTCTGGATGGTTCCTCAAACATTGACTGTCTGGTCTCTATTGGAACAATTTTTGCCATCTACAAAAAGGTTGGTAGCTATGATCCTGCATGCTGGTTCCAAACACAATAAAGTTTTTACATCATTGCATTGACCGGTTTGCTAACAGCCTTTCCCTGTTGTGATATTTTTCCACATATTTGTCCCATAGACCACAGATGACGAGCCATCTGAGAAGGATGCTTTGCAGCCTGGAAGAAACATTGTTGCTGCTGGTTATGCTCTGTATGGAAGTGCCACCATGATGGTCCTCTCCACTGGTCAGGGCGTCAACTGCTTCATGCTTGACCCTGTAAGATGGCATTAAAACTATTATATCATATTGTCTCTTTGTTGCTGTGATTCTTTTTCTGCAGATAATACCATCGTGTGTTCGACCGCATCATAATAATCTGATAATCTGACACTTCTTTGCAGGCGATCGGTGAGTTCATCTTGGTGGATCGAGATGTGAAGATTAAGAAAAAGGGAAAAATCTACAGTTTGAATGAAGGATATGCGCAGCACTTTTACCCAGATGTGACAGAGTACCTGCAAAAGAAGAAATACCCGGAGGTAATGGCAATAAGTGAACTGTTATAGTCACTGTGCTTTTAAACATCATTACATAAGAAAAGCTGGCTACCCAACTGGCCAGTGACCAGTGTTATTATTATATTGTGTACATGAATACAAAATATTTTCCTTCCGAATATTGTAAAAATGACTTCACAACATTTGTGTTTCTAGGATGGTTCTGCTCCATATGGCAGTCGCTATGTTGGTTCAATGGTAGCTGATGTTCACCGTACTTTGGTGTATGGAGGAATCTTTTTATATCCTGCTAATGTCAAGAGTCCTAAGGGCAAGGTGAGCAGATGGACAAAAAAAGTTTTTAATTAATTCATATTTTCAGATAATCTGTGTTAAATTGTTGTAAAATGCACATATAAGTCATTTGTCATGTACCTTCACACCGAGTCACTCGTCTCTCTGCTTCTTGCCTTTCAGCTGAGGCTGCTGTATGAGTGCAACCCCATGGCCTTCATCATGGAGCAGGCAGGAGGCATGGCCACGACAGGATCCATGAATGTTCTGGACATCCAGCCCACCACTATCCACCAGCGAGTCCCTGTGGTCCTTGGATCCCCTGATGATGTACAAGAATATCTTTCCATCTACAAGAAGCATAACAAATGAGGTACTCAGATCTGCTAAAACTTACTCAAGACAGTTTTTAAGTAATCATTGACTGCCAAACTCTCTGGGAAAATAAATTAGGCCCCCCCCCTCCCCAGTCTCTTTGAATACAGCAGGTCAAGTCTGGTGTTGAGCAGAACTAACACAATCAAGAGACTCTATCGGGACGTTTTCTACTCATTCCCTCAGCTGCACTGATGAAGGAACCATGAGCTTCACTGGACCCACGAACTCCACCTCACACTGTGCCACTTCCAGCTCATTGCTGTGTGTTTTATTTGAAGGGACTGTAACCCTGTATTTTTTTTAAATAAAGACAAGTGAAAAGATGCTCATTTTCTTCACTGAGCTGCAAAAGTCTAGTATGCATGTGTGGGTTGAGGATGTTGCTGCGTCTCTGGTAATATTGCAAATTGGACACATTGCATGGCATTGCGTAACTATACTTTTATTCCCACCCAAAATCCCCTTTTTCGTCACAACCACACATTCACTGTATAAAATTTCATCTAGAAATTGAAAAAAGGTAATTTCATTGACCATCTGCTCAAATTGTGTTTGAAAGCAGCAAGTCCAGTTAAATCACTTTATGGTGAGGTATAACAGGATGTTTACACATATTACACACATTCTCTCCTGGAAGATGCTATGTACAACCTTAATGTGATCTATTGGCCACTGAGCCGATTCATACTTTACTCAAGGGCACCTATATGTCTGCTCATTTACTTTCCTCACTCTGCCAGCCTGGAAATCAAATCAACTTGCTTCTTTATGGACCTAGAGTTTTCCAAAATTTAATCACTTTGTTGGTCCTATTTCAAGGGCGTATGTTTGCATATGCAGAATTGTCCCTACCAATATTTGAATGAACTTGTTCGCACTATGTTTGGCGTGAGGTCATATAAGATCATTCCGATGTGGGCCCAGTTCTAGGCATGGGCATGGGGGGCAATGCCCCATCAAATTGGTAATGGTATTTTCTTCCACCCACAACCAATAAAATAAATTAATTTAAAAATACACTACTTTGCCTTCAGGGCTGCTGCCTGTCTGTGGTCTGTAGTCTCCAATCTGTGGTCTGGAGCAATGTCCCGCACACAGCACGATCTGATTGGTTACACGTCACGAGTAATACTCTATCACGCTGAAGCCTGCTGTGTACACAGATGGGCACAGATGAGAGAAGCTCCGGTTAACAAACAAAGTTGTGTGTTGGAGGTAAGACAGCATACATCACTGAAGTTTTAATAAACATCACAATCTTCTACACTGAGGTTACAACAACGCCACACTCCGATGAACAAGTTCACCTGTTGGCTCAAGAAACACCGAGCTAAAGAGAGAGAGGGAGAGGGACAGAAGCTAGCGCTAACTGCTAAGCTAAAGTAACTAGCACACCTGACTAGCATGTAAACAACAGCTGAATTAGTGAAAGTCGCTAAAAGGAGCAGAGAGCTGAGAGTGCTGGAGCAGAACTAGTGTAAGTTTAATTGTACAGCAGGTAGTTAGACACTGTGAAGAAGAAAACAAGAACATTCACTGTGTTCAGACAAAGCAGCAGTAAACGTTACCATTAACAGAAACTCCAGAGACTGGCCATGAGACACTACTCTGACGTCATCACGTCAACGGTCAGAAGCTACTGTAAACTACTGTGTCAAAATGTTCTCAGATAAAATACGAAGTGAGTCAGTTAAAATTGCTCTGAGTAAATGTGTTACATTTTAAAACGGGAGGGGTAAAACTTGTTATATGGTGATGATAATAATAATAATAATACATGATAAAACTGTTAAATTAAAGAGCATCTTTAGGCTGCCAGGTGTACCAGTTCACAGGTGAGGACAGCACCGAAATCAACCAATTAATTCCAGTCATACTCTTTGCAGCTGGTGCATACAACCGATAATTACTAATATACACTCAGTTGTCCGTTTATTAGGAACATCTAGATAAAACTGAGTCTAAAACAACAGTCCTGCTGTAAATCCTCCTTCATGAAGGTTTTACTGTTCAGTATTTATTAAATCCGTTTTAGACAGTTGTTGATTCAACTGTATGATAATTTTTGAGGATGTAGCGTTTGGAGCTGTATTGCATTAGGTGTTTCTGTTATTTAGCCGACTTTCACTGATATAAATGGGGTGGACAAAATAATAGAAACACCTTGACTCCATGAGTCCTTATGTAGCAGTGTAGTTTTGTGTTGCATGTCAGTTCCAAATATCAGTTATCGGGGGGTTGGAGGTGGGTTTAAAATTGCATAAATTATTGGCTTATGTATTGTTAGATTCTATGACTTTAGTTTAAATTTTCTGTTGAGAAATTTCATGAAATTGTCTCTATTAATGGATTATTTTATATGCCAGAACAGCAACAGACCTAGAATAAACATTTTTTCTTGTTTATGTAATTTGTACAAAAACCCAAGTCTGGTTCAAACCAAAATCATTCTGTCTAGCCAAGTAATAGTTCCACCACAAAAAGCACAAATTGTTATTTTTAGTCTTCGATTTTATGAGGATTTAACAAGCAAGATTAGTGAGCTTTAGTGGTGCTAGTAGGTAGATTTTGGACAGAGTCAGGCTAACTGTTTGCCACTGCTAAGCTAACTAGGTTCTGGCTCTAGCTTCATAATTAATGGACATGTATGAGAGTGCTATCAAGCTTTTCATCTAACCAGCTTTTTGTCCATGCCCATCAACAACTTTAATTTCTCTCAGACTATGCATTTCCTTGTTAGCCTCTGATGATGTCTGGCATCAGCAGCACACCCTGACAGGCCATCGTAGTGCCAGAAATGTTTCAGCTTTGCCACAGTACTAATGAGCCATAAAGACTCACTGAGGAAAAACAAGAAGATCCAGCAGTATGCTAGCACAAAAGCCTCATTCAATCAATCAAGTTTATTTAGGAAAGCAGTCATTATGGTCCGTAGAACAACAATGTCTCCTAAATCAGCCTAGTCTGTATCTTTCCTGATATTGTACTGAGGCTTTCAGCAAAGGAAAAAAAAAACTGATTGAAAGGGTGATTTGAAACTTAATGAGATTTTAATAACATTAAAACACAATAATAACACCGTTGTGTGGATCGCTGGCTGCTGATGTCACTTGGAAACTTGGCAGTGAAGCGCATAAGCTCGTCTGAGAGCATAATGGATTTTTTATTGGCGTTTTTTTTTACTCTTGTCTTGGCAATTTAAAGCCTCTTAATGTGAGAATATAGTATGTGAGTCATATGTAAGTTAAATTATGTGAAATGAAAGCAGATGTTTGATCAGAGATGGAAGGCTTAGCGATTTCGAAGGAACTTCTTGTATATATAGAGAATGGAAAATAATTTATGCTGCTGCAGTGTGCTGGATGGAATCCGTATTGTCTGGTATTCACTAAAAAACTGAACCACTTCCTTTTTTATGTGTGTTTGTCAGTGTCAGCATTCAAGGGTCTTGGTGCCCGTGAGACACACAAACACTACACATACAGGCACACATGTTTATTTCGATTTTGTTCAGACCGTGTATGATTATAGGTTACTGAGTCAATATTTAGATTTTGCAGGCAAAGCAAAACCCAGCCTGTTTATTTTTCCCTTGCTACTGTGTGTGGTAAGTGTGTTTGCACTGCGGACAAGATGAGATGATAAAGCTCGATTTGAATAATTGTCATAGTATTGAAATAAGAATTTAAAATAAGTGGTGGTGAATGTTTCTTAGACACAACAGAACAATGTCAGATTAAAATTATATAACAGGCTTAAAACAGCAGTGGTAGGTAACCAGAATAATTTAGCCAAATCATGTTGTCATGGCTACTTGTGCTGTGCCAGCTGAAAAAGTTAATTTATAACATGATAGAATATATCAGTTCTTTGCCTCTTTGCCATTTAAGTTTGTTTGTGCAACACAGTTTTGTCCTTTTTTTTGTCCTTCTAACAATGACAGGTCAGTGCCTGTTGTTTCCTGCTGTAGCCCTTCACTGTCTGCCTGACATCCACCCCGTGTCCAGACAGGCTCTGTTTACTTTACACTCTGATGAAGAGTGTTATAGCGGAGCGTCTGTGGTGTGTCTTTGCAGTTGACAGCTTACTCAATCAACAACCTACTCCTCTCCGCAGCCCATCTCGCTTTTGCCGTTGCCAGATTGAAAGGAAGATCACAAAAGACAACAAATCTTCCATTTCATGTTCATCCAGAAATTAAGTAGATAAAGGAAAATATCCTAAAACACAAGTAATCCATAACAAGCACGTTCATGGCTCTATAGCTCGCAAAGTCAGTTAGCCCATTACATTGGTTCTAACTTAAATATCTCAACAACTATTGGATGAATCGTGATGAAATCTGCATCAGACATTCATGGTCTCCAGAGGCTCACTCCTACTGACTTTGATGAATCTGGGACTTTTTCCTCCAGTGTTGACATTTGTGGTTTTTAGTGAAATATCTCATCAACTATTGGATGGAAATTTGGTACAGACATTAATGTTCCACCATCAGATACATTTTATTTACCTAGTACTTTGATTTATGACCAAATATCTGCAAAAGTAATGACATTCCCATCAGCCTCAGCTGCACTTTGTATTTAACAGAAATTTATGCCAAGATGGTGAATATGGTTGCTAAAAGATTAGCATGTTTGAGCAATGTTAGCATGTTGATGTTAGAATTAAATTTAAAGCATTACAGAGCTATAGCACGGCCGTGAACTGTACTATTTTTAGGGACACTTTTTTCCCTTTATTAGATAGCACGCAGGAGAGAGTTGACAGGAAATGAAGGGAGAAACCTTGGATATTGCAATTCATATTCAACGCCTTAACCCCAGGGCCACCAGGGCTCCAGTAAACATCATATTCTCTGGTGGTCCTTCTTCTCCCTGTACCAAGTGAAGGAGGATATGCACTCCTGGCCTGGAGGAACTGGCAAACCATTCTTAGTTAGATTTATAATAGCTGTTTCTCAAGTGGCCTCTGAAACTACAATGATCTTATCTTCTGTCAAGACTAATACATGTTTTTTGTTGGGGTGTTATTGTTCTGGAACAAGCTAACGGAAGACAAGAATAAGTTAATGTTTATTAGCACAATCCAAAAAAATGTCCCAACATATAGGAAAATAAAACAGCTGACTGTGTGCCTGTGTGATACTGTCATTCACAAGCAAAAGGTAAAAACTATACCTATAAATCTATTCAGCCACTCACTTCCATGATGGACAAGATTCTCTCCGCCAACCTTTACTTCTGTAATCAGACCTCATATCCGACCTACCATGTCACCCCTTGTTTAAGTGATCAGCATGGTTTTACTCAGAACAGTGA